TCATGTTGGCGGTGTTGAAATCTCCGGCCACAACGAACGCCGCATCTGGCCGGTGAAGTCTCGGTTTTATCAATAAACCCAAACAGCTGATCGAGTGCCGTGTTGTTGTCGGCGAGTGGCTGCGGCGGGATATACACTGCTGTTATCACAACAGATGTGAATTCCCTCGGCAGATGGAAGGCCCGACATGAGATCATGAGGTGCTCTAGATGTGCGGAACAGTCCGATGAAATAATCTTCACATCTGAGCACCAGTTGTTGTTAGTCATTACACACACCGCCTCCCTTACTTTTCCCCGAGTTAGCAGTCCGGTCCTGACAAAAATAGAGAATCCGTCAGGGACAATAGCGGAGTCCGGGATAGCGGGGTTGAGCCAAGTCTCAGTGAGAATTAACACGTTACAGTTCTTAATGTCCCGTTGAAAAGCAATCCGGCTTCTGAGTTCATCTAGCTTATTTTCAATGGATTGAACATTAGCCAGAAGAATACTCGGAAGAGGGGGTCGATTCTCTCGTTTTCTCAGTCTGACCAGCAACCCGGCCCGGCATCCCCGCTTTGTCTTCTTCTTGCGTCTCTCAGGTAGAACAGCAACAGGTAGCCATGGTGAATCTCCATTGTTTGTCGGAGGGTTATTATTGTCCACGAAGTTTCGCAATTGGAAAGTTCCTCTCTGCTATATTGTATGGCAGAGTAGGTGCGGTCGGCTAGCATGTTGCGAACCATGTTAAAAGAATTAAGTTGATTGTTGTTTGGAAGCTCCAGTGAATGAGCCCCATTAACTGAGTTTTAAACATCACTTTAAATGGAAGATTTAAAGTGATGTTTAAATCTTCCATTTAGGCCCCGCCCACTCGATCGGATCGGCGATCGGTATCGGCAGATACTGATTCCGGCGATCGGCGATCGGCCCCAAAATTGGCGATCGGAGCATCCCTAGATTTAACTGTGTGATAACTGTACAGTTTGTGTTGCTGTTAGACATGCTAGCGCTGCAACAATAAGACAACTAATGGGTTTGAGGAATCAACAGAAAAATGTAATCTATTTTCCAACTTTTAATACTCGATCATTTGTTTAAGTGCGTTTTTATGTCTGTTAATTATTATGATTATAAGGTTTCTTTGTTTTATAACGTATAATTAAACTGAATACATGAGAAAACATTTGTTAGTTGCCGCCCTACATTATAGTGAGAAGTGTTTTATAATTGTTATCTACTCTACTTATACTAAAGTGTTTCTGGAGCTTGAGTTTAATATGGGTAAAGTGCCTTATATTGTTTAATCTGATCCTGTAGTATGAGGAGTAATGTATCAGTAATGTATAACACACACCCTTAGCAATACAACACATAATCAGAATATGTTCACACAGTAAAACAGCAACAAAAACGTATATATAAAAACACATTTCAATTGTTTGTGTTGAGAAGAAGCCAGTAAGCCGCATTAAGACGATTGAAACTGTTGTTTATCAGACTGTGATCACACAGTAAAGACAATAACAACAAACAGCAGCTGTCTTTGTTCCACTTCCCAGACATGTGGGAATTCAAGTTTCAAAGTTTTTTTTTGTCATATGCACAAAGCAGCTACAGTGTAGAAATGGCAATGAAAATCTTCTGACCTGAGCTCCTCCAACAATCCAACATATATATAATAAAATAACAATCAAAACCAATTCCTGGAAAAACTCAAGTGTTGTTAGAGTGTCAGAAATGTACTTATAATTTCATAATTACAAAAAATATGACTCTATGAGGGGATGTGGAAATGTCTGGAAAGTGAAATGTAAACCAGAGTAATGCGATGCGGCCGGGTATCATGTGCTTCATTAAACTGCTGAACATACAGGAACAATAGAGGAACAATCAGGCTCCTCTTCAGGACCTTTCGTCATGGCAAACAGCGGCAACATTACATGGAGTAGACAATGATGTTGTTGTTGTTTATAATGCTAGTGTTTATGTGTGTAATGGCGCATTTCCACTACAGCGCGGTTTAAGCGTGCCGTGCCCGGCCCGTTTTTGGTTGCGTTTCCACTAGGCGTAGTTCCGGCTAGCGGGTACTTTTTCACAGTTTTCTGGCTCTCCAAAATCGAGGTTCTTTCCGGGCCAACAACCGGCCTGAGTATGCTAAACTAGTGAGAGAATCGCTGGCAACTACAACAAAATGAACATATTTGACCGTGATTTAATTGTAATACACGTTTCAAAATGATGCTGAAGTAACAACATACTGATACCGGTTAGTAAAAACCATGAATTAATGCTTTGACAAGTCTGCAGACAGACGGCAGGCAAAAAACCTTTTAAAATCCGTGTTTTCTAAATGGAGATCGGCTAAGCTAACGTTGTATATGCTCCGACCGTCCACACTCACAACAACGGCCCTACAGACATAAATAAAGCAGCGACTGTATTCACCATGACACAGGCAGTCTGTGGTTTGTACTTGTTTCACTTTTGTCTAGTTTCTGAACAGATATGAGGAGCTGTGAGCTCTGAGGGCTAACAGCTAACGGCTGATGTTGGTTTTGTGGTTTGCATTGAAGATGACGTCACGGCTCCGCCTACACTGCGTTACTATAGTTACTGCCCCAGTTCCTAAACTGTAATGGAAACGCAGCATGAAGTGAGCCTGGCCTACCAAGGCCTAACTATACCGTACTAAGCCGTGCGAGGCCCTGCAGTGGAAATGCGCCATTAGTGTCTTACCTAGAAGACCCGGGCCACAACATCTGAATAAAAGCTACGGCCTTAAGGACATTTGGGAATGATGTCCACACTTTAATTTCTACTTGCAGACTTAAAAATACATTTTTTTTATCAAAACTTCAAAAGCTTAATAATGCCTTTTTAAAAGGGACACAACAAAGGGACCTTTGGAAGTGACACCTCACCTCTAAATCACGGCTGTTACATTGGATTTGACTGTAAATTGGGGTCAGTTGTATGATAAATGTGTGTTGTTGCTCACTCTCAACAGATTCCTGAATTTCACATGATTAAAAATAATTGGTTTGAAGACGTTCCACCTTCTGGATCCTCTACTTACTTTTTTGAAACTGACAGGGTGTAATCTGGGGCCTCATTTATAACGCCTTGCGTAGGATTGACGTAGGAAGGTTGCTTACGTAGTACAAAGCACAAAAATAGGTACATACATTTTCCGCCATTTTCCGATTCACAAAACATTGCGTACCGGCGAGGGAAGTGCGTACGGCACTCCCTACGCCTGTTTCCCTTGATAAATCACAATCGACTCGTAACGCCCATATTTGCCTATACATAGTCAAAGAAACGCCCATTCATTCATTCATTTTGACTGACTGCATGAAGAAGATCGCAGGAAATTACGATAGAACAGCTAAAAAAGACATCTCACACCGTGTCAGATTTTGGTTATTGTGGGGAGGTCGAGATAAATCATATTGTTTGGTGGATGCAGTTTGAACCAGAGTAGCAGCATGGAGGTCGGATCGTCACCAAAATAAATAAATAAGTGGTCCGAAAAAAGTTAATGACAAAACAAATACACATAACCTTCCTCAGGCAGTGTGTTTGTCCCGGGGACAGGAGACACCCCCTTGATGAGAAACTGTAAGAAATGATGGGGGAATCCCTCCGGAGTGGAGTCATGACGACTGGATCTGAATTATTTTGTTGTATTTGGTGGTTTGTGTTCCAGCTGTCGATCAGCAACTATATATCCATAATCCACCAGTTAAAGGAAATACAACTAATGGATTGTGTTATATTAGCTGTACAATTTACCACATATGGTGTTCTTAGTTTCCATACCTCCTGTGTTTTACGAGCGACTTATCAAGTCTTGGCAAACGGCATAAAACACGATTAAACGTGATAGTATATAAAACCATGCTCGTATCTACAACCTATAGAAATGCAAAACGGCGTCAGTTTAGACGTAATTCTGTCCTCCTGTTTACCGCATCATTTATGAGAAAACATTTCATAACATTAACACAACATATTCGAGGTGGTTTTAAATAGCATATCCGTATTTATTTATTTCTCCAAGTTATGTTTTTGTGTGCACTGAGGAGTCTCAAACAGGCGTTTGTTTAATCATTTTATGATTGGCTTTAATCAATGTTTGAAAATGAATTCTTCATATTTGATAAATGAGAGGTAACATTTTATTTATGGTATTATTTCCACATATTTCTCTCCATTCTTCCTTCTGCCAACGGTGTCGCAGTTTCTCGTCTCTCCCGTTTGTGTGCTTAGTGCGTACGCATGGGTTAGAGTTTGCGTGGAGGACAGCACATTTTCCCGTCAAGTTAGTATTTTATAAATCGCAAACATTGCGTAGAAACTGGCGTACGCCATTTTTTGAGCGTATATCCCTTTATAAATGAGGCCCCTGATCATATCTTTTGTAGTTTTCTACCGAAGAGAGTGCCTTGCATGCCTGTAAGATTCTTTACTCTGGATTAATGCGTGCGAGAGCTGCCATCATCAATACATTTCCCACATGTCAGCAAAATACCAGAGATTCTTTTGAGCCCAAATCCTGACTCATGTCTTAAGTAACATTTTTTTTAAGTGTTGCATAATGGGTTTCCTCAGAAATTAATATTCTTCTTCTTTTCTTTTGCCTGATCTTACAACCCTGATGTTTATTTCACAAATGTTGGATGTAGCAACACCACAGCAACCAGTGCTCTGGTTATTCAGTATACTTATTGACTTTGATTGAACTAGTGAGTGTCTCTACAATTGCATAAGTCTTGCTTAATTTATCAAGTTTCCATCTTTTGTTTAAACGGTAAGAGTAAGATTTGTTTTACTTGACTAACTCTCATTCTCTTGATTTTAGTCCGCAACACTAACTTTCTTCACGCAGAAGCAGCACTTTAGAACATGGTTTTACCAAATATGTTCTTATATCTCTTGTAAATATGTATTTCAGCACAAAAAGTAAAGAAAAAATGACAGAATATTTGCTCAATTTCTTTCATTTTTTTTCCCTAGGGCAAGAGAAATGGTGCCCAGATGTTGACTCGGAGCAGCAACCAGGATCTTGACTTTCTACGTCAGTACGCCTTCTCTCTTCAACCTCAACACAAACTGTAGCAGCACAGACACACGTAGCTGTTATCACAAACTCCAACAGACACTCCACTTTATCACGGGGCTCCCAGACGCCGGTCATATAGTGACGGTCATACACTGATACCGGGCTACTTCCTGCTTTGCTATCTGGGGAGGAGCCACCTGAAGCAGCCATGTTTTATAGAAGTATGTGATGTCCAGGACCTGTGACGGAGCAGGTGTAGTGGCAGGAGAAGGAGAAGGAGAAGGAGCAGGAGAAGGAGAAGGAGAAGGAGCAGGAGAAGGAGAAGGAGAAGGAGAAGGAGAAGGAGAAAGAGAAGCATTAGAACGGGGGCGGAGCCACAGAGACGTTCCTCGGTTTGTGATTGGCTGTGGGGATGACGAGCAGGACATGGGTCAAATGGAGGCAGGCATGAAGAACGAGATGTTTCGAGAAGAGGATATGGAAGGCGATGACGACGAGTCGGTAGGTGTTAAAGAAATACTACACCTACAAAATGATTTGTTTAAAAAGAATCACCCTATGCTATCCTGAATCATCTTGAAAACAGAAATGAATATAAAGATAAATGGAGGCCAAGTTTACAGTAACAACATTAAAACATCTGTTAACGAACTCATACACAACTTGTGCAGTATGATACTCAGTCTTAGTTATCCACAGATTAGCTCAATACCTCACAAACATGTATTTTTGCTAAATTACTATCTGAGAATGCTTTTTCACAAACTGTCTCCCGATAGTCAAACTACTTATCTGTGCGAGTTCAAAGTAGAAAGACAGAGTGAGTTACTGATACACTTTGCCCATGAGATATTCCTCTCATTCAAGTTTACAGAAAGCTGGTGTAGAAGCTGTGTCTTTGCAAATAGACTAAGTAAAAATATCATGTTTTTTGTTCCTTTTTGAAACGTTTTGATTGGGAAATATCACAAAACTTCATATTATTGTACCTAAAATTAGAGACCATGTGTTGTATGAAAATGACCTAATGTAACTAAAGTGTTCATGTGAAAAAATATGATTTAATGTCGGGAACAGGAAGCCAAAGTCTAGGTCATTTCTGGGCAGTAGGACATTATCAAGCCTGGAAATTATAAAGAGGAATGTTTTTATTAGGAACGGAAAATAAATGGAGACACAAATATACAACGGTTGGCGTGAGAACAATGCAGAAGATAAACATCTTTAAAGCATCTGGTCTGTTGTGTAGTCCTTTAGCTATAAAAGGACTTTATGGTAGTGCTCTGTTAGCGGCTCGCTTACTTGTTATGATTTCTATGTCTCAGTCAGTATTTGTCTCTGTTTCACGATCTGATCGTCTTTATCTAGAGAGCGTTTTACAGGAAGCAGCTCAGTACGTCCATACTTTTCCTTTCAACTACACTACTGTGGCACATCAGCAAAAAGGCTCTTACTTACGTATTAGTGTAGGAATCAATCTACACACAACTTTAAGTGTTTTCTGAAGAATAAGATTCTCTATATGCAATAATGTTTTAGTTTAGATAATCAAATCAAATCAAATCAAGTTTTATTTATAAAGCACATTTAAAAGTGATTTTTGGTCGAGCCAAAGTGCTGTACATGTAATAAAAACACATTACTACAATCACAATAAAAGACAATAAATTACAACAGATATGTAAAAAACACAGGGAAAAGTCAGGAGTCGTGCTCCGCTCTGACTAGAAGGCCAGGGATGATATAATGTTTGCTTTATGAGCCTGCTGAATGTTTTTCCATTCAACAGTGCAATACATTATTTGGCGTTAAGCAAACTGAGGTATTGATGAGGTCGACTACATTTGATCAATAAAGCCCAATATTACAAATCACAATTTTTCCACATTGTCTTTAATCCCCAAATGTACATGTAAAGGCCCGGACACACCAACCCGATTTTGGCCGTCGATAGATGTCTTGCCGTCGATGAGCGTCCTGTCGCCCTACTCAGATTGGTGTGTCCTGCACCGTCGTGTCTTTTCGACCGTGCCGACACCTTCCGCCGGCTGTCGGCCAAAGAAAACTTTCTGATTGGCTGTTCAGCTTAGCGAATCAGTGCATGAGAAGCGAAACGGAAGTGAGGGACCCAAACAAACTATTAAGAAGGCAAATCTGAGATTTCATTTAACTCCAGCTCTCGACACAGGTTCGGGAAAGCCCCATGAGCTTCTCGCTGTAGAGTGAAAATGGAACGCACACGCTATTTGTTGTTTGTTTATATCACGCAGTCTGTTCTTCTTCTCTCGGTGTATCAAGCAGTCTGTCTTCAGGTTGTTGCCTCTTTTGACGAATACACACTACCGCCGCCTGCTGGTAAGGAGAGTTATTGCCACTCACGCATGCGCAGTTCGTACGTGCTTCTTGGCCGTCGGCTGAAGTCTTAGCGGTGTGTTCCAGTGCGACTGTTGGCCAAGACGCAGGAGACGTGAGGCGACACAACAGTCGTGTCCGTCGGGACGTGTTCTTTGGTGTCAGTTTGGTGTGTCAGGGCCTGTAGATGTTGAGGGTTTAGGTGCCAAATTTGTATCTGCAGGTCAAATGACACCCTATGATCTAAAAAGACTTGTGACGTTTAAATCCTTTATCATGAAAGGCTATACATGAATACGAGAATAAGCCTGTCAAGCGCACTAATCAAAAAACCCTCTTTGACATCTCACAATATAACCAGTAGGTCCAATACATTTTCAAAATCCACTGGGAGTCACATCCTGATGTTAAGTTTGGTTTAGTTTATTTGTTTATAGTGTCGTGGACAGTCCCCATTCATCAACTGTCACTGGCAGCTTTAGCCAACATTGCTAATTTCCAGCTGTTGTCCAGAAGATAATGGACACCCTTAAAATCACAATACATCAACAGTTATAAAAAAAGGATGAAAGACAAGTATCTGTGCTCCTCTGCTGTTTTTACATTAAACTAAACTTGCCGTTGCATTGTCCCATTTTTCTGTCTTCCCCGTCCTCCTTCAGCCACCGGAGCGACAGATCTTGGTCGGCATCTGTGCCATGGTGAAGAAATCCAAATCAAAGCCGATGACTCAGATCCTGGAGCGGCTTTGTAAGTTTGACTACATCGACATGGTCATCTTTCCAGAGGAGGTGATCCTGGAGGAGCCGGTGGAGAACTGGCCGCTCTGCGACTGCCTCATCTCCTTCCACTCCAAAGGTAAACATCTACCAACTAATGTCAAAAAAACATCCTGTTGAACGATGAGAAACACTAAGGGAGATGGAGGGGAAATGCTCAGGAGAGGTTTTGTAGCTTCAGAGCGGACGCTAACTCACAATCAGATTGTCACTACAAGATTTAATCGGCCAAAATAAGTCAATGCTGATATTAGAAAATGTGCTAAAATAATCATCTTTATTTGAGTTTTTTCTCAGTTTAGTAGCTATTGTGTCAACAGAGAAAGACAAAAGAGAAGTAGTGGGGTTTTGACATTCGTACATACAGTAGCTACAGTGTAGATATGTCAATGGAAATCTTAGGTCGCAGGCTCCTCCAACAGTGCAACACAATAAAACAGATAAAATAGTGCAAGTAAAAAAAAACGTAGATACTACAGGGTGTCCGCGGGGTCTTAAAAAGTATTGAAAGTTGATAAATCAATTTAGCGAAAATTAAGGCTATTAAAAAGTATTAAACGGCATTTTCCAAGGTATTACATTTTGTAGCTTGTTTTCAATAAGTATGTAAATGGTCCAAAGAGGTTGTATTCTACAGTCTGCCTGAATGTAATCATTGCGTAGGTGTGTAGTGTGATTCTGTGTAGTTTATTTATGGCATCCCGTTGGGTTTGACGTCATCTGAACAGGACATCGCACGCTCACTGCTTGATAGCGCGCGAAGGTCCGTTTACGCCGGTTGTTAAACAACATCGTTATGGGGAAATGCAAGTTTGCGTCCAAATGGTTGGAAGATAAGGAGGAAGGACAATCAATACTGTATATAGTCAATGTGAGGTAAAGTGTGTCGCCAAGGTAACCGGTTAAAACTCGAAGTGGCGATGAGGTCTTAAAATGTATGGAAAGGGTCTTAAAAAAGGTCTTAAAAGGTCTTACATTTGACTTCAGGATTCCTGCATATACCCTGTACTAACTAAGCACTTATATACTAACTAAGCACTTACATACTAACAAAGCAATGATATACTAACTAAGCACTTACATACTAACTAAGCACTTACATACTAACAAAGCACTTATATACTAACTAAGCACTTATATACTAACAAAGCACTTATATACTAACAAAGCACTTATATACTAACAAAGCACTTATATACTAACTAAGCACTTATATACTAACAAAGCACTTATATACTAACAAAGGACTGGCTTATCTAAAGCTAGTTGAGTAGCACTTGAAATGGTTTCGCTCTATGACACCTGATGTACTTATATGATTCTGTTTTCTTCAAGTTCGTATCTTCTTGGTCGAATGCACTTATTGCAAGTCGCTTTGGATAAAAGCGTCAGCTAAATGTAATGTAATTACAAATTAAATAGAATGAGATGGTCTATTTGTTAATAACGTTTTTTTTGTTTGTGTGCCATTTCACAGGTTTCCCTCTGGACAAAGCTGTGGAGTACGCCAAGCTCAGGAATCCACTGCTCCTCAATGACCTCAACATGCAGTATTTCATCCAGGACAGGTAAAGCAGGACTGAAGGGTATCACAGAGAAGAAGCTAATTTCTACATAATGGTGCCTCATAACACAAACAATGAGTACAACGAGGGGTCATTAAGTAGCTAAAATCATCGTTACGCTACTTGTTGAAGAAGATACTTCAAAATGGAAGTTTCTCTGTATAAAATAAAACAATATACCTGCATCAAGTTTTTCACCCCCTTATGTCACTTTCAAATAGCAGAAGCTGGACTCTTTTACACAACCATCTTGTTTGCACTTGCCCATTATTAATAGGAGAGAAATCATGACGTAATTGCCATCTTCACACTTTTTACATAACTGTTTGACTGCCTAACCCCAGCACAACGTATCAAAGCACATCAAAGCTGCATACATTGAAATAGGGCTGTGCGATTATGGCAAAAATCATAATCACGATTATTTTGGTCAATAATTGATATCACGATTATTAAATACGATTATTCATTGACTTTGAAAACATCCATTTATTGAACTTTTAAACGAATACAAATAATAATTTGAACAGTGTCTTTTTAACTGTTGATTACCCTGAACGTATAATTCAACTGAAAAACCAATACATAAATAAATAAAATAAATGAAACAATTTAAATAAATAATATCAAAATAATAAATACCAATAAACAAGATCAACAAATATTTTGGAGCGCACTTCAACAAGCTACTAAACATATATAAATATGATAAATACAAATAAATTAGATCAAATATGTTGCAGTGTACTGTCACAACCAAGCAAAGCAAAATAATCGTTTTTTTCACACCCCTACTTTGAAATACTTTGATTGTTCTTGTTTTGAGGTTATTAACATTTTATTGGATTTTCCATCAGGAGGGAAGTTTACAGGATACTAAAGGAAGAGGGCATCGACCTCCCTCGTTACGGCGTATTGAACAGAGACCCTGACAATCCTGAAGGTGAGGAACGGTTCTTATTTTGTGTGAATAAAGTTTGCATGATTTTGGATGGAAACTAAAACAAATCCCATGAATAAATATATATTAAATTATCCATCTGTGACATACAACAGCATACAGGACATCAGTTACTTTGCAATATACACATATTTTCAGTTATTTGAAACCAAAACAAGAAGTCGAGCTGTCAAAAAAAAAACAATTCGATGTAGCTGAGATTGTCTATCATGTTTTTGCCTGTTTTTTCCTCCTATAAATGTAAAATGCTGACAGTGAATATTTTAAAGAAGAGTGTTTTAATGTATATTTATGATGTTATCTCTCGTAGATTGTTAAATAAAATATAAATAAAGTTTGTCAAAATGCAATGGATTTCTTTTATACATTTATGTGAAAGGCAGCTCGGTAAGAATCTACAACTATCAAACTTATTTATGTATTTCCCTTCTTTGAAATATTCCAGGTACTTTTTGATTAAATGCTTTTACTATGTGTTTAAAACCGAAGTGTCCCCCTGTGCAGAGTGCAACCTGGTGGAAGGGGAGGACCACGTGGAGGTGAACGGGGAAGTGTTCCCTAAACCCTTCGTGGAGAAACCTGTGTGTGCCGAGGACCACAACGTGTACGTCTACTACCCATCGTCTGCTGGGGGGGGCAGCCAGAGGCTCTTCAGAAAGGTAGAGAGCTGGCAAGAGACACAGGAAAATAAACAAGTCATTGAAAGATGGTCTGATCTAGAAATACTGACAAGTTACCTTAACGTCACACTGCTTTTGAACTCTTATTGGCTTATTGTAGAGCTTTTGTAAAGAGTATCCACTGTCCCTACTGTACATGTCAAGGAGTGTTATTTTAATATAACCCTAATCATAATGCTAATTTTCCTAATTGCCTAAGACATAATGTTTTCAGAGTTGTTCAGCATCCTTACATCAAAGTATTTCTCATGAACAAGATATCTCAGGAATGCATGAAAGGACATTTCTTGTAATTTTGCAAAAAAAAGTCCCTTTTGATTTAAGGGTAAACTTATTCGATTGAATGCTCGATGGTTAAGGTCTCTGGGACCTCGCAAAACACTTTTTTGGTCCAAAAGCAAACAATAAATGCTTATAATGACTATTTCTTACACATGTCTCATGGGATTGAAGGATTAAGTGAAGACATTTTGGGCAGATTTTGATGTAAATTGCAACTTGACTGGTTGGCTGAGTCAACAACGAGGTGGTAATTCTAGTTTGGGTTGTTTTATTGCATTATTCAATGACTTACACAAAGGAAACATGGCTGAATAGCTGCTGCAGGGTTAGACCTTCTAGATTTACAGTTAATAACACAGTGAAACCAAAGGAACATGAGAGACAAATACTACCATTAGGAGGTTGCAGAGGTGAAAAAAAGTTTGGGTAATCGAGGATTTTTCACCTTAAGTGGTTTCTATATCCTGGGGGAGGCATTCATTTGACAGGCTTTGTCTCTGTGTGATATAAGTGTAATATGGGTGTAATAACAGTGTAATGTGGGTGTAATATGGGTATAATATAGGTCTCATAATATAAGAAATGTTCAATGTATGTTAGTTGGAAAATAAAGGTCATGTTTTGAAAGAAGCCTATATATAAATACACATCATAAAAAAAGAATCAATACATTTTCCCAAATATTTATACGTTTCAAAGTCAACTTTATTGTCAATCTTTCAGTTTGTGTGTACAGACAGAGAGATCGAAATACCGTTTCCCACAATCCCATTTAAGTGTTAATCCAGGCTCGGTTTCCAACGCCCTTTGAATTGTTCTTCTTTGTCTCTGGCTCTCTCTGTAGATCGGGAGTCGCAGCAGTGTGTATTCTCCAGAAGCCAGCGTACGAAAGACCGGATCCTACATCTACGAGGAGTTCATGCCCACAGATGGAACTGACGTGAAGGTACTGTTCACTCAGCCATTAATGATAATGATAATAATAAAGCTTTATTTATATAGCACTTTTCATTTTGAACACATGCAGCTCAAAGTGCTTTACAAAATGACACATCACAAGTTAAAAATACACAACAAGAAATTCCCCTCAGATTATTTGTTAAGAACTTTTTAAAAGGTACATGCAGCAAAATATAACATTTGATCAGGTTAATAGACACAATAATACAAATAAAATAAATAATGGTTTCTCTCAGACAGATAAAGCCAGCCTACATTTCAGATATTACGTCATATCGGACGCAAATCTGGATCAGCTCCGTTGTACCCCTGTTTTTAGAGATTTGGGTACGGAGGAAAAGAGAGAGGGTTTTATTTGCTGACGCTGCGTGAGTTCCCTGACACACCGGGGACACATATTTATGTATAAAAGACATCAACAAGTGCATTTTGCATAATAGGTCCCCTTTAAAGTGGGGGGTTGCTAATAAAAAGCTAATCTAAAAAGATGTGTCTTTAGCTGGTGTTTAAAATGGAGGGGTTCATTGTTTGAATTGATTCATGCACCAGTGACCCTTCTGCTTCAACACCACCTCTGTGTTTGCTTCCCTTCTTCCTGTGTGTTTGAACGTCTCAGGTGTACACAGTGGGTCCAGACTACGCCCATGCGGAGGCCCGGAAATCTCCTGCTCTGGACGGAAAGGTGGAGAGGGACAGCGAGGGGAAGGAGATCCGTTACCCTGTCATGCTGACCGCCATGGAGAAACTGGTGGCTCGCAAAGTCTGCCTGGCCTTCAAGGTAAACTTAAAGGTCACTTATTATGCAAAATCCACTTGTTCATGTCTCTTCTACATCAACATGTGTCCCCTCTGTGTGAAGAGATTCTGAAAGTTTCAGGAAAAAAGATTCTCTCTCTTTTTGTCCTGATCCATTTATATAAAAACCTGTCTGAAAATGAGCTGATCAGATTTTGGCCACCTTATGATGTCATAACGATGTTTTGTCTTGTGTAACCATTAGCCAATCACCAACCAAGGTAACCCCCCCCACCTTATCACCTGAATCTCCTCCTAGAGCACCATTGAGTTCTTTTTAACCAAATATCTCTCAGAGGGGCGTGGGGAGTGGCTCCTTATTTTCATCTAAAGTAACAGACAGAGAATCAGCACTTTTGAAACAGGGCTGAAACAGAGGGGATTATGGGATGCTGCAATGATCTGTTTGGAGTTTGGAGCCAAACACTTCAGAGACATGTTCTGTATATATCTGAGACCTATAATATATTGATGAAAAACAGTATAATAGGGGACCTTTAAGTCATCATATAGAGGATTTAGCACAGAATAGTGTGCAGGGAAGCAAATAAAGCAGCTTTGAAATTGCCAGGAAACCTCCAATTATTCCTGAAAACTGCATTATTTATGCCCTTTGGTTGTTTTGTATTGCTTCACAAGCCATTGGTGTTCAGAAGCTCCTCTGGGTTTCTCTTTGTGTGCAGTTATCCACTTGAAGCTGACATAAACATTGCATCACCTTGTGTTTAGCTGCATGAAACACTAAGAGCATGTGCTTTCAGTTGGTTGAATCCAATTTAAAGCAGGGAGAACATATCTTCAAAACACGGACAGTTGTAGACCTATTACATTGTTTTCCGTTGCTAACTAAATACTCAATTTCCTGGAACATGGGAGCTGCCAGAAGCATTTTTTTCTAAAAGCCTTCTGCCATGGTAATTATTGCTTTCAAATTGTTCTAACTTTGTACAGTGCTTGAAGCAAGTATTAATCAAAAGGGAGGATTCCTAGTAGTGGCTCTATTACCGCCTACACTACAGCTCGTTACTGATGACTCAGTGTTTTCAGAAAACACACCGGACTCCCACAAACAAATAAAACAACAGCATGAGGCCCAGCAAATCAATAATTCATAAGTCCTTTGTGTTGTAAGTTCAGCTCTTAATATAACGACTTAAGAAATAATGAGCGCACATAGAAAATGTTTCTGTAAACAAATAAACACTTCTAGCAGCATTAAAGCCTCATGGACACAAAACTGTTACTAAATAACACTTATACAGTTACAGAAATAAGGGATATTTTATGTTGCTGAAGTTTAAACATGCTTAATACTTGCAGATACATAATGTTACAAAACTGCACCAAAAGGGAAGGTCTAAATATAGATAATATGCCACAAATTAGGCTTATACAAGTGTATTTTCAAGACAAACTAAGTCAGTGTGCGAGTGTGTGAACTTTTGGATTTTAGCCTTTGCAGACCATTTACATGCACACAAACCTGTATAACACAGGAAAGGGAAACTCCAAAAAACAGAAAAGAACAGAATGAAGTTTTTACTTTTGCACATATTGGCTTACATTGCTATGCATTGTATGAATGTACTTTAAAGGTCACCTATCATGCTATTTTTAAGCAATAGCATAGGTCTCAGATATATACAAATATATAAAAAACATGTCTATGAAGTGTTTTGCTCAAAATACCAAACAGATCACCCATTCTAGCCATGCCTCATATCCCTCTATTTCACTTCCTGTTTCAAAAGTGCTGATTTGGGGTATAAAGCTTTAAAAAAAAAAGAAGAATTGATAACTAAAAAAGGAGGGGGCTGAGCTCATGTGGGACCCGGCAGCAACTGTCTAAACTAAATACTGCGGTGATGAAACGCCATATCATGGATTATCAAGGATTCTTTCTGAAACAGTATGGAGCTCAAAGGCTTTCTCTCTTGCCGGTTATACCACAAGGTGAGTTCCTTTTTATTTCCTGCTTCTTCACACACATGCTCTCCAGTACAGGTTAGCTCTGAGTGTTAGCGATGCTAATGTAAACACTGACCATATTACGTCCAAAACAGTCGGGCATTGTTTCTGATAGCAACGTTTCTGATAGGGCCATGGATGTAAAGCCAGCCTACATTTCCGATATTACGTCATATCGGACACAAATCTGGATCAGCTCCGTTGTAGCCCCGTTTTTAGAGATTTGGGTACGGAGGAAAAGAGAGAGGGTTTTATTTTCTGACGCTGCGTGAGTTCCCCGACACACCGGGGACACATGTTTATGTATAAAAGACATCAACAAGTGCATTTTGCATGATAGGTCCCCTTTAAGTCATTTTTTTGTGTGTTTTTTAGCAAACAGTGTGCGGGTTCGACCTGCTCAGAGCCAACGGACACTCGTACGTCTGTGACGTTAACGGCTTCAGCTTCGTCAAAAACTCCATGAAGTATTACGACGACTGTGCCAAAGTCCTGGGGTAGGTTTATAACATATATATTTTTAAATTGTATTCTTTTCAAACTCATATTTATGTGTTTTTTTTTTATGTTGACCAGCACTTATAATCGCAGAAACTTCTTCATGGCATGAAACAGAAAACGTAAATATAATATTATTAATGACTGACTTTCTTTATCTTTGTAAGCTCGTCGTTGGCAAAGGTATTTTTTTGATTGACTGAAGTTTGTATTATCTTTAGTGTATTGATAGCATTTGAGCTTTTTTTGATTATTTTAATGCAATTGTTTGAATATACAATATCCTGTTTAAAAACTCAGAAGCAACTTTTAAGCAGAATATCTTTATAAAACTGATTCGCACACGAGGACGAGGAGCCTGCCGAATGAATGCCATGCTAACTTTTGTTTTGTATTAAGTCCTTTCCATCTTTAATATTTACTTAAAGGTATGGTAGGTAAGTTTGAGAAACTGGCTCGAGATACACTTTTTGTTATATTCCATGGAATGCTCTTAACATCCCGATAGCAATGAATATCTTAAGTGCTTTGACACAAAATCCATAAAAAAATGTCATCTGTGGAAGCCGTGGTACTGTAAAAAGCACGACCAATCATTTTAGCCGCCCGGCTAAAATAACTGGATGGCCTACCTGCCTGTCAGCCTTCCATCTCTGCACAAACTTATCTCGTGCCCTCATTGGTCATGTGCGCGTTCGTGTGTGTTGGAGGAGGGGCTCTGTAAGGAAGTGGCAGATTTTTTCCGGCTGTGTATTTTCAAATTCTAGCGCACTCGAGTCGGTTTCTCCAAAATTACCTACCCCACCTTTAATGTTCTCCAATCTTAAATTCTTTACATCTGTTATTCCTTGCCTCACCAGGAACATGGTGATGAGGGAGTTAGCGCCTCAGTTCCACATCCCCTGGTCCATCCCCATGGAGGCTGAAGACATCCCCATCGTCCCCACAACCTCAGGAACCATGTACGTACCTAAAAACTCTACAGTACTGTGTTCATGGGTCCTCTGCAGCCTGGAAAAGTCCTGGGAAATATATGGGGACTACTACACATATAATACAACATGCGATTAATGCAACATTTATTTTACGCTGATTTAAAGTAGTATGATTATAGTGGACTTTTGTTGAGTTGGGATAGTGAAACACTTTTGAATTGTTTTACTCCTTTGCCTGTTTTAGGATGGAGCTGCGTTGTGTCATCGCCATCATCCGCCATGGAGATCGCACGCCAAAACAAAAGATGAAAATGGAGGTCAGACATCCTCTGTAAGTCTTTTTTAAGTGTTGCTCCAGCATTCAGATGTATCTCCCTCTTTCTGTCAGCATATATTTAAAGTATTGGGTCTATTGTGCGTGTAACTTTTTATTTTCAACATTAAATACGAATATTTTTTACAGTTTACATAATTTTACTTTAAAGGGGACCTATTATGCAAAATGCACTTTTTGATGTCTTTTATACATAAAGATGTGTCCCCGGTGTGTCGGGGAACTCACGCAGCATCAGAAAATAAAACCCTCTCTCTTTTCCTCCGTACCCAAATCTCTAAAAACGGGGCTACAACGGAACTGATCCAGATTTGTGTCCGATATGACGTAATATCAGAAATGTAGGCTGGCTTTACACCCACGGCCCTATCAGAAACGTTGCTATCAGAAACAATGCCCGACTGTTTTGGACGTAATATGGTCAGTGTTTACATTAGCATCGCTAACACTCAGAGCTAACCTGTACTGGAGAGCATGTGTGTGAAGAAGCAGGAAATAAAAAGGAACTCACCTTGTGGTATAACCGGCAAGAAAGAAAGCCTTTGAGCTCCATACTGTTTCAGAAATAATCCTTGATAATCCATGATATGGCGTTTCATCACCGCAGTATTTAGTTTAGACAGTAGCTGCCGGGTCCCGCATGAGCTCAGCCCCCTCCTTTTTTCTTTTCTTTTTAAAGCTTTATACCCAGAATCAGCACTTTTGAAACAGGAAGTGAAATAGAGGGATATGAGGCATGGCTAGAATGGGTGATCTGTTTGGTATTTTGAGCAAAACACTTCATAGACATGTTTTTTATATATTTTCTATATATCTGAGACCTATGCTATTGCCTAAAAATAGCATGATAGGTGACCTTTAAGATATTGCATTAGAAGATTAAAATGTAAGCATCAATGGACTCAATATGCATACATACATAGTTAACTAAGTTATTTATTTTACAGAAGAGTGCAGGTGATAACAAACATGGATTATATTTCACAACTGAACTGCCTTCTCACCCTGCCTACCCTAACCCGTCTCATATTACCCACTTATTACTTAGAGATGAATCAAATTATCAAATATGTTTTCACTTTTAAGATATTGCCCTGATCTGATGTAACTGCACTTCTTATTCTGCTGTTTTATTCTGCTTGTCTTGCTCAGATTCTTTGATTTGTTTGAGAAGCACGGAGGCTACAAGTCAGGAAAGCTAAAACTGAAGAAACCAAAGCAGCTCCAAGTGAGTGAGATTGATTTTCAGTCTTTCTTTTTCCCACGCTCCCCCTCCTCTGTTGTTCTTTTGGCAGATTGTGACTGAATCCTACCAAGACTAATGAAGGGTTTCAGATGATAAGGTTGCTTTTTACTAATTATTATTATGGAGCAGAAACCATTATAGTGTTGTCTAAATATTTATACCAAACCTTGCATTTATCCTGTCATCATATACATCTTTTAATAAGTCTTTCTCTTTGGCATTGTTTTCATTGTCAGGGCGTTAGCAAAGGTTTCAGTGTGTGTTTTAGTCTGACATGTAAACAAATAAAAAGATAAGAGCCAGATAAAAGAATAATGTGTGTTTCCAGGAAGTGCTGGATATCGCCCGCCTGCTGCTGGTTGAACTCGTCCAGCACAACGACTGTGAGATCGAGGAGAAGAAATCCAAACTGGAGCAACTCAAGACGGTCCTGGAGATGTGAGTGACGTCCCACATCAAAAACACACACACACACACACACACACACACACACACACACACACACACACACACAACACACACACACACACACACACACACACACACACACACACACACACACACCACACACACACACACACACACACACACACACACACACACACACACACACACACACACACACACACACACACACACACACACCTAAACACACAACACAGTCATTATCCTCCTGTTTCCAGTCATTCATCACCCACTCTCATCCACCATGTGTAAACACTCCTCAGGGTTCATTCATCTTTCCTCACAAACACACACACACATGTTAACCTTGATTCTACCTCCCCCTCTCTTGAGTCCCTAACTCTTTTCTTCCCTTTTCTGTCTCTCTTTTCTCCTGACCACCCACCCACCCATCCCTTCCTTCTCTTCAAAAGGAATTCCAGCTTGAATGACATTCAGTACGCACCCTCTCCCTCCTCACTTTAAAGGATGAGGTTTTACCACCCTCCTTTAAATTTGTCCGTACAAAATGTTATGAATACCTGTTGTTTAATACCTGTGAGAGTAGCCTGAAACGCCTCCATTGGACTCCATTGTTTACTTCCTTAACATAATTGCATCACTATTTAATACTCATGCCTCTATTAGCTAGTGCTTCAACACATTTAGGCAAAGAGGCGGGACATCTTTAAGCGGTTGACCAATCACAACAGAGCATTGTATGTGATAGGCTAAGGGGCGGGACATCCGACCATTCACAACAGAGCTGGCCAGCTAACCAATCAGAGCAGACTGGGCTCTGGTTTCAGACAGACGGTGAAAATAGGTGCTGCAGCACAGGCAGTATGAGAACAATAAAGAGCTTTTTGAACATTAAAGCACGGAGACATGTCACAGTAGAAGCAAAAAATACAAATATGAATAGCATTATCGGGCTCCTTTAAAATTGTATATGAGGCAGCTGGCAGCACATTTGTCTTTATTAGAACAAAAAAGCAATTAAAGTAAATTTATCTATGACTATTTTGGAAAGTGATGGGGCAAATCCTGGGACATTTCAGGTAAATGACTTCTCAATTTACCAAAGGTCAAATTCAAATAACCTTAAAGGTGGGGTAGGTAAGTTTGAAAAACCAGCTCGAGATACACTTTTTGTTATATTCCATGGAATGCTCTTAACATCCCGATAGCAATGAATATCTTAAGTGCTTTGACAAACAATCCATACAAAAAAATGTCATCTGTGGAAGCCGTGGTACTGTAAAAAGCACGACCAATTATTTTAGCCGGCCCGGCTAAAATAACTGGATGGCCTACCTGCCTGTCAGCCTTCCATCTGTGCACAAACTTATCTCGTGCCCTCATTGGTCATGTGCGCGTTGGAGGAGGGGCTCTATAAGGAAGTGGCAGATTTTTTCCGGTTGTGTATTTTCAAATTCTAGCGATCTCGAGCCGGTTTCTCAAACTTACCTACCCCACCTTTAATGTCTGAAATAAAACATTGTAGTATTTGTTTTATTTGCTAAAACCTTCATAACTAAGCCATAAAATAGACCGAAGGTTGGCCTACCAGCCCCACGAGTGTCCAAACAGGGTATCAGTTAGTTTTATGCAAAGTTTGTGCACGATGAAAGATAGTATAACATATTTTGAAAGGTATTCCTAATGTTTTGTGCACTGAGTGTATCATTTTTATTAACACCCATTCATTGTCCCTGATGACTTCACTGTGTAATTCAGTGTGCTGTGAGACTTTGTGTGCATGCTGTTCTCACCACAGCGTTAACATTCATACGCACATGCAAACCAAACGGGAAATACAACCTCCTTAGCGACGGTAATAATATTATCATCCGTATACTAAAAAAACACTGTAAAAAAAAAGAAGTAAAATCATCAAGAAATTCCGGATAATAAGAATTGTATTCATACATTTATTTTATTTTAATAGAACATTGGATTTAAAACGTACAGACAGTTATACAATATAATCTTTTTATAAATATTTGCATTATAATGAAATAATACATTAATTTTTAATTAGTTAGAAACAATAGGGAAAACCATTTCAATTATTTATTTTTTATATTACTGTGATTTTCCAGCTGAGTGGCTGAAGTTAATTAGAAAATCTAAAATGCTTCTCAGGCTAATTATATGTATGAATAGTAATAATTGTGAGTTTGTGTTGCACAGCGATGCAGGAAGCGCCACAAAATGTATATTTTAATTGATGCAAACAAACACCAAGCATTACCTCACCACAGTGTGTAAGTGTGAGTCAGCTGTTCAGAGTTCTTTATCCTGCTTCAGGGTCACTGTCCTCTCCTCTCAGAGAACACTGTGCGCTCATTAGTCTGCAGGATGTGGCAAATTCTTCCTAAAGCACAGTGCAAGGGGCAAAGCTCCTGATACGCGATAAGACTTAATTCAGAATAACAGGATTTGAAATTGGCTTTTATTTCGACCTTGCAAACAGGTTCTCTGTCTCTTTTGTTCTTACACCCACACACTTGAAAAGATGCAATTACACACTTTAATCAAACTGAACAATCTAGCAGATCAAAACTGCCCGATGACCGAGTTATCATTAAATCATTTTCTAATACTGTTACTTGATTATGTGATATTTTTGAAAAAGGTGTTTGCCTTTTTCTGTCTCTCTTGAAGTTTTTTTTTAAACGGAAGACAGACTTTTGATTTTAGATATCAAACAAAGTTCTTTAAGCTGGGATCAATTCTTCCTGTGTTTTTGTGTGCACTCTTTGTCCGACTTATATGTGCGTATTAACATTTGTTGTGTTGGCTCTGTTTGTGTGTGTGTGTGTGTGTGTGTGTGTGTGTTGCTAGGTACGGTCATTTCTCAGGTATAAACAGGAAAGTCCAGCTGACCTACCTGCGTAACGGACAACCTAAAGCCTCCAGTGAAGAAGAAGGTACACACACACACACACACACACACACACACACACACACACACACATTATGATGTTTATATTTACATATGTGTGTTTTACATATGTTTGTACAAGGTTATAGATTCCATGTGAAATGATGATATTAATCCCCCAAAAACCTATAAACACATGATATTAAAATGTTATTTTGCTAATTAATGCCTGTCAAAGAAAGAAATCATTCAATTTCTAACAAGTAGTTTTCAGATTTGTTAACGTGTCCTGTAACTGTGAAATAATAAGGAAACAAGTCAAACTATTAAAGCACCCTGGGATGGTAACATCAACATAAATGGATAAAACAAAACTATTGAAGCTAAACTAAGCAGGAATCTTGTGTTAAAGTAACACAAGATTCCTGCACACTTTGATGCTGGTTGATGGTAACCTGGATGTTTTGTGTTTGTCCTTTACAGCCGTCCAACAAATTCAAATATTTTGAAGTTGCTTAAAGTATATTTTTTATAGGGATATCAATAACGTTACTTTGTTGTATTTCAGACTCTAAGAAGGACGGCCCCTCTCTGCTGCTGGTGCTGAAGTGGGGGGGCGAGCTGACGCCTGCAGGCCGGGTTCAGGCTGAGGAGCTGGGCAGAGCTTTCCGCTGCATGTACCCTGGAGGTCAAGGTACCCACTGCACTCACATTACCTAAAATATGAACTTATAAATCATCCTTCTGCCGTTGCTGTGATTATTTAGTTCTTCCATTGCATACAATGTTTGATTTCTTTCCTTGTGTGTAATCCACCTTTCAAACTGCCATGAGATGGGAAAAAGTTGAGAGTTTTTGTGAACAGTTGAACACAAAGAAAGCAACCACACACCTACACACACACGGCAATGCACACACATTACCTCAGTTGAAATGATAATCATAAAGCACAGCCTGTCCTCCCATGTGTACCTTTGCTCGTAAAAGTTTAATTTTAGCCGTTCTTTTCAGTTGTGGAAAGCACCACCATATACAGAAGAATGTCAACACTGCGTAGCTGACATACAGCCTATCAGAGAGGCTCGAGGTGGAGGTCATTTTGGAGTCAGCCGGACACATGTTCCCACTTAGTGCAGGGTCTTTATTTGGACTGTATTCGTTCAGTAATTGCAAATATTTGTAGACATGTTGCAAAATTGTAATGCATTTTTGATGAGATTATGACCCACGATATTGGGCATATAAGCCTGTCTTTTTTTTTTAATCAGATTTGAGCCAATAAGATCAAGCAAAAATAAATATCTGAGATGAAATAAAACTCAGTTGGCACAGATCTGATTCAATAGTCTTACAATAGAAATCTGATCTGGAAAAAGGAGGTGTGTTTGTGTGTGTGTGTGTGTGTGTGTGTGTGTTGTGTGTGTGTGTGTGTGTGTGTGTGTGTGGTGTGTGTGTGTGTGTGTGTGTGTGTGTGTGTGTGTGTGTGTAGGTGAATGTGTGTGGTGTGTGTGTGTGTGTGTGTGTGTGTGGTGTGTGTGTGTGTGTGTGTGTGTGTGTGTGTGTGTGGTGTGTGTGTGTGTGTGGTGTGTGTGTGGTGGTGTGTGTGTGTGTGTGGTGTGTGTGTGTGTGTGATGTGTGTGTGTGTGTGTGTGTGTGTGTGTGTAGTGTGTGTGTGTGGTGTGTGTGTGTGTGTGTGTGTGTGTGTGTGTGTGTGTGTGTGTGTGTGTGTCTGATAATACTGCCATCTATATTTTATTGACAGTATTTACATCACAGTGTCATTGTAGGATAATATATAAAAGATATAACGCTGACATGTATGTGCAACATGCTGTCCACACCCTGGTGATGTTGGGTGCTGTGCATCATGACACACAAATGCAGCGCTGCTTTTCCTCAATGGAAAGATGAAGGGTGGAGTTTCTCTTTCATTCTGTAAAAGAGTCAACACACCGTGAAATACAATGCGGACAAACCGGCTCCTTACATAAAGCTTTCTTACTCTCGATCACATGAATCATTCCTTATATTTATTATCGCGCTTTTCCAGCGCTCAAAGCGCTTTACAAATACACATTACACACATATCATACATGTAACGGTCATGTACTGTGGACAATACCCACAGGAGCAAATTCGCTGTGGTGGCGGAGGCGGGTTTCGAACTGGAGTTCCCCAACGCCCCCTTGATCTGATGATCAACGCACAGCCCACTGCGCCCACACCTCTCTGTCATTTAGATGTTGAACCTTCTTCAGTCTTTCCCTCAGATTCTTTGTTTTATTGTGCATGCAAACAACACCTAAACTGCACTGAAAAACAGCCTGAAGCAGAATTGAAATGAGATTAAATGGTATGCAGCCTTTTCTCATCTCAGCCACTGTTTTCATTCATTTCTTTTTCCACCACAAGTTGTGTCTATTAACTCTGCTCTTCTCTTCTTACCTGTTGTTGCTCTGTGTAAACTACCAGCTGGTAACCGGTCCCTTGGCTGTGAGTCCCCTATTGAGTTTGGTAAGAGAGAGGTTTCCTGGACATCACCGCTGTTCCACGCCTTTCTCATCCTGAGCGTTCGTCCCACTAACGTGCTCTGATCTCGCCTTAATCTCATCATGATTTAGATTCATTTCACCCTGCGTCTCGTGCTGTTTGTCCTCCATTGAGAGTGCTGTGGGTTGTTTGTCGTGTGTGAGATGATCCTCTGCAGCAACACAGACATATACAGGCCCCAAAAGTGACTGCTAACGCGGATCATCTCACACTAATCCTACTGAATTGATCTCTTCATGAGTTCTTGGATATGTTGTTTTTTGCTTGATGAAAGCGAGCCCATCTGGATTAGATACTAGAAAAGGGGTACGTCCCCATCAGATATTGTAATGTGAAACAAGGCATGATAACCCAAGGAGGCTTTGGATATAACATCAGGTTGTTTGGCACTAAAGAAAAATGCATGAAGCATCAGTGTGGTTTGATCTGAGGCGTTAGTATGCATCCACTTCCTTCAGGTACAATTTAAAGTGGACCTATCATGCTATATTTGAATAATATAGTGTAGGACCATACCTATATACAGTAAGGCATTTTTATACCTTTTTTTTTTCTTCAAAATACCAAACAGATCATGCATTTTAGCCATGCCTCATTTCGCTCAATTTGACATTTTTTAGCTCTGTTTTTGCAAGGGCTGATTCTGTGAGAACAGCACCATCTAGAGGCCTGGCATATGTACTACAGCGTCTCCAGCGCTTTCGAACGGCAATGGCCGTGGCTGTCTCCTCCTGATTGGTGGACCTTTTTTAGAGATTTGGGTATGGAGGAAAATAGAGAGGGTTGTGTTTTCTGACACTTGGTGAGTTCCCTGGAACACCGGGGACACATATTCATGAACTGTATAAAAGACGTACAAAAGTGCATTTTGCATGATAGGTCCCCTTTAAATATATTTAACATGTTACAATAGTAAATGTCCCTCTTCAAGTATCTCTCTAAAGTACATAATCTTCTTGGGAGCTTAACTCAACATCTGTTCACTTCACTTTCACTACAATTTATATTTAGCTTAATCAAACAATTTCTGTTCACATTAAAGTGAAGTGAGCCATGTCAAAAGCTTACAAAGCAATGCATTTGAACTGCACAGGTGCACTGTGTCCCTTTTTAAAAAATTGAAATCCTTAGAACTTTTGGGTTCAATCAACTCTTCTCCTCCGACTACTTCCCTGCCTCAGCTATCTCTTGATTGAGACAGTTATTAGCTCGTTATGAAGCTCCTCTCTGTACGTTATCTTCCAGGTGACTATGCGGGGTTTCCAGGCTGCGGCCTCCTGCGCCTGCACAGCACGTACCGCCACGACCTGAAGATCTACGCCTCTGACGAAGGCCGGGTGCAGATGACCGCCGCTGCTTTCGCAAAGGTAACCCTGACCCGGCCTGAAAGACTTTATCCTGTGCATAACTAATGATACACTTACAGGGGAAACTCTGAAAGGGACAGAGTATATCTTTGGATGCTTGTGATCCATTGTTTCTGCCTTATTACGGGGAAGAAATAATTGAACAAATATTTAATGTGTAGTCTGGTGGACACAACTTCAGAGTTGGAATTATAATTTTTTAACTATTATATTATTTTCTGGATTGATTTTTCGTTTGGTTTATTTTGCCTATACAATGCCTGTGAAGTTTGTTTGTGTTTTCAAAAGATATTGTGTTGATATAAGACAACAAAATATAGAAAATATTTTCAACTTGTATATATGTTAATGTCCCTCTCTAACCCTAACCCTAACCCTAACCCTAACCCTAACCCTAGAAAAGATCAAGTGTTACATAAAAAGCTGTGCAGAATGAAAAAGAACTATATTGAAAATAACATTACAGGCCTGGCATATGTACTACAGCGTCTCCAGCGCTTTCGAACGGCAATGGCCGTGGCTGTCTCCTCCTGATTGGTGGAGTTGGCCCAATAGCCGTAGCGCCACCGTCCTGACGTCAGGACAGTGTTCAAATCTGGATCAGTTTTTATCAGATCCGTTGCAGCCCCTTTTTTAGAGATTTGGGTATGGAGGAAAATAGAGAGGGTTGTGTTTTCTGACACTTGGTGAGTTCCCTGAAACACCGGGGACACATATTCATGTATAAAAGACGTACAAAAGTGCATTTTGCATGATAGGTCCCCTTTAAGTAGAAAGTCCACACATTGATTACTTACCACTTCTCTGCTTTCCCTTCAGGGTCTCCTGGCTCTGGAAGGAGAGTTGACTCCCATCCTGGTCCAGATGGTGAAGAGCGCCAACATGAACGGTCTGCTGGACAGCGACAGCGACTCTCTGACCGACTGCCAACAGAAAGTGAAGGCCCGACTGCACGAGATCATGCAGAGGAGCCAGGAGTTCACAGAGGACGACTATCTGAAGGTTTGTGGCTGAGAGGGGGAAGAGAAAATATAAAACATGTTTGATTTGATAAGGTAAATACTTCAATGTTTCCCAGTAAGCTCAGTTTAAACTGTGAAGTGGTAATTATTCCAAGAAATGTCAATCTCTTTGTAATTTACTTCCTATATGATGTTGGGATGAGATTAAAGTAAAAGCCAGAGGAATAATACATCCAGAAAGTGTCAAGGCAGTAAATGTTATCTGCCTTTGGTATACATGGTTCCTTCGGTCATTAAAAACCTGGAAAAGTCATGGAAATTCAAAATGCAAATTCCAGGCCCTAGAAAGGTTATGGAAAACAATATTTTTGGAAAAGTTATGGAAATGTAACCAAATTTGCATCAAATATAATTTATATTTTTATCTAATCGCCGACATAGTAATACTATAATGATAATACATACTGTATCGTATAGTAATGAAACGTAAAATGGCATTTACTGTAACTGACGAGGTATTTTGCTGGTGAGAGATTTTTACAATCACGTCTGTAGAAGCTAGTAAGCCTACTATTTGATTTGTTTTAGATAGGCACAACATGTTTCATATGCACACCTTATTTTCCAGCTTACCATGCTAAAATAAAAATGTTTCAGTGGTACTGCTGAGAATGAGTAATTTTTTTGGTCATGGACAATTAGGTAAAGGTCATGGAGAAGTCATGGAAAAGTCATTGGTGAAAAAGTGTATGAACCCTGGGTATAATAAAGTCTTTCTACTTCTTATTTAGCAGGGTAGAAGTGACGTCTCCGACATAATAAAAGTAATATTATTTCTGATGGTAAACATTAATACAGAAGCTGACGTTTCAAACTACATGTGCTAAAGGTTTCAAAGTATTTTTTCCTGCCTGTATTCAACAATATAATGTGATGTTAACATGTTTCTGTTTCCCCTGTGTACTAGTTGGCGCCGACTAGCAGCCCGTCGCTGGTGAACTCGATGAAGATCATACAGAATCCGGTCAAAACCTGTGACAAAGTGTACGCCCTCATCCAGAGCCTCAACTCACAGATCCGCAAAAGACTGGAGGACCCCAAGTCTGCAGGTAGGGTGAACCTGCCTTACCTTCAGACAGAAGAAACGTATTCAGCTGCATTTAAAGAAACGATTATCAAAATGTTCTTTAAAGCCAAAATCTGTGGTTTAGTCAAGGCAGGGCACATGTACATTACATTATATTTCATTTAGCTGACGCTTTTATCCAAACAACTAGTACAATTATTATATTTTTATGCCAAGGTTCAGTTGAAACAGGTTTTAAGTCTGCGATGGAAGATGTGTAGACTTTTCATTTGATATCAACCCAGAGATCTTTCCACCATTTTGAACCCGTGATAGGCATATCACATATGAAGAAAATGAAACGTATGATAGAAACAAAGCAAGCGAAAGGAATAAAAAACGTTAAAGCAAACCAACAAATATAATTTAAAGTGGACCTATCATGCTATATTGTAATAATATAGTGTAGGACCATACCTATATAAGGCATATTTATACTTTTTTTTTTTCAAAATACCAAACAGATCATGCATTTTAGCCATGCCTCATTTTGCTCAATTTGAAATGTTTTAGCTCTTTAGTTGCAAGGGCAGATTATGTGAGAATAGCACCATCTACAGGCCTGGCATATGTACTACAGCGTCTCCAGCGCTTTCGAACGGCAATGGCCGTGGCTGTCTCCTCCTGATTGGTGGAGTTGGCCCAATAGCCGTAGCGCCACCGTCCTGACGTCAGGACAGTGTTCAAATCTGGATCAGTTTTGATCAGATCCGTTGCAGCCCCTTTTTTAGAGATTTGGGTATGGAGGAAAATAGAGAGGGTTGTGTTTTCTGACACTTGGTGAGTTCCCTGGAACACCGGGGACACATATTCATGTAGAAAAGACGTACACAAGTGCATTTTGCATGATAGGTCCCCTTTAAAAGAAAATGAATTAACAGCCTGAAATTCAAAGTAGCCTTATCCAAAATCTTAGCGCTTCTTATAATTTGTTCCGCAGTTGAGCAGCGTATTAGCTCAAGGCAGCTTTACCAGTTTATTTGATATGCTTTTCTCGGCATGAATCAGGCAGAAGCTGGAAAGGTTAAATGTGTGCAGGCTGTGAATATCAAGTAAACATTGCCAGACATTTACCTGTCTAACATTAAACATGGCTCACTCATGCTGTGCTTCTTGTCTCAGACCTGCAGCTGTACCACAGTGAGACGCTGGAGCTGATGCTGCAGCGCTGGTCCAAACTGGAGAGAGACTTCCGAATGAAGAACGGCCGCTACGACATCAGCAAGATCCCCGACATCTACGACTGCATCAAATACGACTCGCAGCACAACGCCTCGCTGGGACTGGAGGACACGCTGGAGCTGTTCAGGCTGTCCCGCGCCCTGGCAGACATCGTCATCCCTCAGGTTAATAAAGACCAAACTCAGCTCTGTAGCTCTCCTCAGGGTCTCTCAGGCCATTACATTACATCTAGCTGGTGCTTTTATCCTAAGCAATTTAGGATTAGGCAATCATCAATGAGGAAACAAACTCAAAATGGCAAGAATCATGTAATTAGCTCCAAATAAGACAAACGATTTCAAGTGCTACAATCAGAAATGTGTTGTTTTTAATGTATTGATTGACCAAGGTGCATCTGAAACAGCTGGAGAGATTCTACGACCTGATCAATAAGGAGCTAGATCCACCATTTTGGAGACAAAGAGCAAACTGGTGTCTTCCACTGTCTTGTTCCTACAGTAGCTCATGAGGACCAAGCTCTGTCCCAAAGCTCTCATGTTTTTTCCTTACCTGTAGACTAGGACTGCACAATTTGCGGAAATAATCTAATTGCGATTTTTCTGACAGATATTCGATTTGCGATATATTTTTTTAAGCGACCCAACGGAAGTTTATTGTAAAATGCGGCCATATCTCCGGCTAGGAAGGTCGTATCAACGTGCTCCCGTCTCAAGCACCCCCGCAGCCCGAGCTACGAGTGAAAGAACTAAACTTACATGAAACTTCCGTTGGGTTGCTTTAAAGTCAAGCTTCAGTTTCAGATTCACCCTGTAATGGATGTAGAACATGTGATGGAGCATTACTAACCTGACTCAGATGGTTTGTTTCACCATCTAGGAAAGCTCCATTGGAAGCCATTTGGAAAAGTATTTCAAAAATACTTGGCAGGTGATTGGATCAATCTGTCTATCACCTTCTATCATGGGCCACTTCTGATTGGTTAACAATGACTGGTACATGTGGAGCACAGCACTTCTGATTGGTGTGGATGACTGACACACAAGAAGAACAAACAAAAAACAACAACAACAATTAAGAAAGAAAAAACATGGCAGGCTTTGCGATTTGATAATTGCATCATTTCAAATCGCGATTTCGATTTAAAATCGATTAATCGTTCAGCCCTACTGTAGACCACCATAGGTCTTTCTAAGCTGGAAAAGAGAGGGTATTCTGCTGTGCAATCTACCAAACAGTATGCTAAGCTACTAATTTTTTGTTAAGGTAGTTATGACTTAACAGATACATGGAGAAATATGAGTACGAGTTGTTAAAGTATTAATTCAGTTGAAAATAAAAGTGCACACCCTTTTGGCGTGCCATGCAGCCTCGTAGCTGTACAGAGCCCAATATTCAAATACAGTGGTGGTGTGTAACTAAGTTCATTTAATTAAGTACTGTAATTGAGTACAAATTAGAGTAACTTGTACTTCACTTGAGTATTTTCTTACAGCTACTTTTTGCTTTTATTCCACTAGATTTTGTAAATGATCTTGTACATTTTGGAGCCAGGATAGCAAACAGTCATGTTTTAGTTGTCATGGCTTTAGACTACTTTTTCACATTACTACTGTTTTATTTTGTTAACTTGATGTTGTGTAAGAGTTGTATTCCAGAGAGCAAAACTAAGAGGGTTGAATGATGTACTTTAATTATCCAAAGGAGTCGGGGAATGTCAGGAATGTTAACAAATAGGTGACATTAGAGAATTGAACCAGACGGCGTATTGCAGATCATTTCAAGCTTTTATTGCCGTAGTGGTGGTGGTAATGAAACCACTTATTTTCCCTTCTGAACATAAAATCTAACCATATTGATCCCTGTGGAAAGAGTAAAATATTGCACCAAAGGAAAGGAGTGTGACTCAGCAGAGAAAATAAAAATGTTCTATAAAGTATGCCCTTAAAAAGAGCTTTAATAGCGAAACACTCAATCAGTTGAAAGGGCGAATGCAAGATCCAGTAGTGCTTCAGCATAACTTCACACAGTCACAGAAAACACATTTAGGCTGTTATGCATACATTTGTTTTCTGCATAAATGTGTCACTTCCTAGCCTTCTGCTCTAAGATATGCTGAGTTAAGACTCCTTCTCCTCATGATCATGACTAAGTAGGTATAAAAGAAGTCGATAAAAGTGTTGAAATGCTTTTTTTCTTTTTCATATCAGGAGTACGGCATCAGCAAAGCAGAGAAACTGGACATCGCTCAGGCTTACTGTGTTCCTCTGATGAAGAAGATCCAGCTGGACCTGCAGAGGACGCACGAGGACGAGGCCGTGAACAAGCTGCACCCTCTGTGAGAAACACAAAGCACACACAAACATGTTTACATGTATATAGACTCAGCACGTATATGCATGCAGTGTGTGCTTGTGTGTGTTTGAGCTCTCTGGGGCTGTGTTGACTGATGAGTCTCATTTCTCTCCCGCTGGTCTTCAGGTATTCTCGTGGCGTGATGTCTCCGGGTCGTCACGTGCGCACACGCCTCTACTTCACCAGCGAGAGCCACGTGCACTCGCTGCTCAGTGTCTTCCGCTACGGAGGACTGTTGGATGTATGTCTGATCTCTCTGACTATTTCGTTTAAAGGTCACCTATTATGCAAAATCCACTTGTTCATGTCTCTTCTACGTCAACATGTGTCCCCTCTGTGTAAAGAGACTCTGAAAGTTTCAGGAACAAAGATTCTCTCTCTTGTTGTCCTGATCCATTTCTATAAAAACCTGTCTGAAAATGAGCTGATCAGATTTTGGCCACTTTATGATGTCATAACGATGTTTTGGCTTGTGTTACCATTAGCCAATCACCAACCAAGGTAACCCCCCCCCCCCACCCCTTATCACCTGAATCTCCTCCTAAAGCACCATTGTGTTCTTTGTAACCAAATATCTCTCAGAGGGGCGTGGGGAGGGGCTCCTTATTTTCATCTAAAGTAACAGACAGAGAATCAGCACTTTTGAAACAGGGCTGAAACAGAGGGGATTATGGGTAATGCTGCAATGATCTGTTTGGTGTTTGGAGCCAAACATTTCAGAGACATGTTTTGTATATATCTGTGACCTATAATATATTGATGAAAAACAGTACAATAGGGGACCTTTAAAGTAGCGATCTTGTTTCATCTTCCTGTGTCTGCTGATGATGATGGAGAAAACAATATATAAATGTCTATAAAAGATTGTATTTTAACACAATTTAGAAATATTATCATACACATTTTATTGCAGACTTCAATAACTGTCCTAAAATCTATTGAAAATTAGTCATTAAAAAGCAACCTTTGTGTGATTACTTTTCTTTGTAACCTGCTGTGTCATACACCACTAACTCTACAGAAATGAGCTGCTATATAATAACATATCATTTGGCATTATAGTTGTATATTTAAAAAAAATGTATGTTTGTTCATATTTGTGAAATGTTGTCTCGTATAATTTATACACACATTTGCCAGATCATGATGTGTATATATTAGAAGTATCCATATCTTAATATTGATACAGCTACATTGCCTTAATGAATCCTAAGTCTTTAATATCTTCTGTCAATCACAAATACAGATGTGTTATGTCTCTTGTGATGTTGTCCTGTGTTTACTGTCTTTGTGTTTTTGTTTGAGTGCCAGGATGAGACGGACCAGCAGTGGAAACAGGCCATGGACTACCTGAGTGCCGTGACTGAACTCAACTACATGACGCAGATCGTCATCATGCTGTATGAAGACAACAACAAGGTGCAGAGAGCTGCAGCAAAACGTCTCCCTATGATTGCATTCCCCTCAGCATTCACACCACACGTCTGTATAGATGTCATCATGTCTTTATGTCTGTGTTGTGAGCAGGACCCTTCCTCAGAGGAGCGTTTCCACGTTGAGATTCACTTCAGTCCAGGAGTCAAAGGGTGTGAGGATGAGGAGAACGTTCCTCTTGGCTTCGGTTTCCGACCAGCCTCCTCTGAGGTGTGTTTCTGTGTTTTGTCTTTTTCAGGGTTACACATATTTAGTGGCCCTCAATAAGCAATCTAAAGTAAATCACGTCCTAAAAGAGCAAATCACATGTAGTAGAATATCAGGATCCTTTCTAGTTTTGACAAGGGTTTGGACAAGTGCAGCATTTCCAACTTTTTCATATCAGAAGATGCAGAACACCTCATCTCTATAATTTAAGTTGGCCGCCTTTCCACCACTGCAACACTTTTACAACACAAGTTAATGTATGTGTGGTCGTTTAAAATGTAAATACAATTTCTCCAGTGCTCCTAAGCTGGTTAAAGGTAGGGTAGGTAAGAATGGAGAAACCAGCTCGAGTGCGCTAGAATTTGAAAATACACAACCGGAAAAAATCTGCCCCTTCCTTCAGACTTCCTTACAGAGCCCCTCCTCCAACACGCACGAACGCGCACATGACCAATGAGGGCACGAGATAAGTTTGTGCACAGATGGAAGGCTGACAGGCAGGTAGGCCATGCAGTTATTTTAGCCGGGCCGGCTCAGATGATTGGTCGTACTTTTTAAAGCGCCACGGCTTCCACAGATGACATTTTTTAATGTATTTATTGTCAAAGCATTTAATATATTCATTGCTATCGGGATGTTAAGAGCATTCCATGGAATATAACAACAAGTGTTTCTGAAGTGAATTACCTACCCCACCTTTAAGAGTAAATGGCCACCAGTGGAGAGTTCCTTCTCGTTGCTTACATGTGCACGAAATGTTGTGCCCCATTATTACATTTATAGATTTTATGCCTTTTTAATGAAAAAGTTAAACCAACTAGTTTTAATTTTCAAAAGTGAGTGAGTTCTTTCCGGCATATTGATGACAAACCTTTAAACAACTTATTTTTGGAAATACATTCAAACATATAAAGACTTTGCACCCTAAAAACATTACATCCAACTCTGTCTGCAGGGAAAGATTATATATCCTACTTGTGTAACATGCATTCGTCATGCGTAATGAAATCTTTATGTTCTGCCACACTGGTATGCAGGCCAGTACGTTGCGGTGACCTCTGTGTGAAGAAACATTCTCATGTACTACAGCTCAAGTGGTATTTGCATGTGTTTTAATTGAATAGATAAGAACAGTGTTTAGACATCATGTCCTTCTCGTGTTCTTTGATCAATAGAACCAAGACAAGAAGCCCAATCAGGGCAGTCTGGAGGATCTGTCCCAGGATCAGCTGGACCAGGCTCTTCCTCTCTCTGATCCAATCAACATCCAGAGAAAGTCTCCTATGATCCGCAACCGCAAGACAGGCTCCATGGAGGTACCAGACCCCGAAGTGTTTCAGATGTCCTGCTGATAATGATGCAACCACACTGGGTGTTTCCTTTGTATTATCCCACTTAGTAGTTTTAGTTTGGGTTTAGTTGAGCAGTTTTTTGCTCTTCGATGTGCTGAATCGTAATGCATTCACTTAGGAAACAACATATTTGCGCTCTCTTGAGTAACACGATTATTAACTCAGAATGTAGAGAAACATTTTTATAAGGAAGAAACATTAAGAAAAGCTTTTATTCAGTTAAAGGTAGGGTAGGTAAGAATGGAGAAACCAGCTGGAGTGCGCTAGAATTTGAAATTACACAACCGAAAAAAATCTGCCACTTCCTTATAGAGCCCCTCCTCCAACACACACGAACGCGCACATGACCAATGAGGGCACGAGATAAGTTTGTGCACAGATGGAAGGCTGACAGGCAGGTAGGCCATCCAGTTATTTTAGCCGGGCCGGCTCAGATGATTGGTCGTGCTTTTTACAGCGCCATGGCTTCCACAGATGACATTTTTTTAATGTATTTATTGTCAAAGCATTTAATGTATTCATTGCTATCGGGATGTTAAGAGCATTCCATGGAATATAACAAAAAGTGTTTCTGAAGTGAATTACATACCCCACCTTTAAGAGCTTGATTATTTGGAAGGTACTGAGAAACCTATAGATTTTGTGAGTGCAACTGGACTCAATTGATTTTATATCAGATCACCATCTAAAATCAGGGAAGCATGCTATTTCTGTTTAATTAACCCTGGAGAAACACATAACATACAGCCGCTAGGGATGGGTTTTTTGTCCGCAGGTCCTGAAATACCTGTACAAAGTCAACAATCTAATAAAATACCATCTGTTTTCACTCTAAAACAATATCTCCTCAGGTTTCAAAAATGTAACTTGATTAACTGAAAAGGTGGTGCATTCCTACGTCCATGAAGTCAAGCTCTAAAGAAAATCAGAGCCTCTGTTTGGATTTAAAAGCATTTTTTAAATTCCAAAAAATTCTGTGATAACAATCTCTTAAATTCAGAAAAATAGGGATAGTATTTTACTCCTGAGCTGAATGCATTGCGCCTCAGAAGAAGTGTTAAAGGTTTTAAAGTAAATAGCGTTGTGTCCCTGATTTACTGTATCTGCCCTCTCAGTTTTAACCCCTGCTCTCCCTCAGGTCCTCTCTGAAACGTCTCCCAGCCAATCCTCCAAAGGCAGCACGTCTCACCGACTCTTCCCTTCGTCCTGTTCGCGCCAGTCTCCTGAGATCAAACCAGCCAGTGGCTTAGGTGGGAAACCCTGTTCTGGTGTGTGTGTGTTTTGTGTACGTGTGTGTGTGTGGGCGGAGAAAGACACACTGACCTTACAGCACATTGTATCTGTCCTCACTGATCCTCTCCTCATCACTTCTCCCACCTTTCCAAATCTCTCAGTGTCTTTCAGTCTGTTTATCTTTCGGTCTGTTGTTCTTTTCCGTCCATAACACCCCTCCCTGTCTCTGTCACTTCTTTTTGTTTCCCGGGCGGTCACATAGCTTTCACCCCAGGCTTAGCATAGCTGCAGACAAACAGGATCAGACTCCCAACTATGTAGGCGAGAGGTCAGCGGAGGGAGCTGCGTTCACAGCCAACCGCTGGCCTCTGCTGTCGCGTAGCGTTCAAAGACCGATATCAAGGCAGGACATTAAGTGACAACATAGGGAACATACTGAAGATGTTCCTATCTCATGTTTCTAAAGGTTCGTCAAGTCAATCGTAAAACTTCTTAGGATCAAATCATAAGACTTCACGGATGTTTGCCATTTATTTATTATTAGACATCACAATCCTTTATATAGGAAGTAACATATTTAGAGAATAGGCCTGCAGTCTAAGTGGTTATTGCTCTTCAAACCCTAAATAGAAAACACATTATCTTAAAACTATGCTCTATTTTGCACCAAATATGCTGTTTAGACAAAGTCAGAAGTGTTTGAAATATAGTCAAATGCTTTCAAATGTTCCAAATCGGCTGCAATAGAGGTCTTCTTAAGGGTACCTGAAACTGATTTAACCTCCTTACTAATGTAACCCCCGTTAAGGACTCTTGTTTTGCTGTGTGATCACTTTCCAAGAGCATGAAACCTTCAACAGCCTGCTAACACGTACAGTAGGTGACTCTTACACAAGCATGAGAGCCGACATCTAAATCAAGACGTGTGGAGAAAACTGTGAGAACAGGGAGTCACTTTGTGGAAACTAAATCTGTGACAGGGAGAGTTAAAGCTGTGTTTCTCAATCAGCAAATGAGTGCAGATTATCTCTTTTTATTTTTGCAATTAAGACCTAAAACACTCAATTACAATTCATGGATATTTGGCAGAGGAAGCCCTTTCCAATCTAAAGTAAATACACTCTGATGCAATCACGTTCAATCACAAACATCAAGCAGACACGTTGCTTATCCGGTCACTCAATTATCACACGTCTGAACGCAGCCGTCACATCAGAGGAGCTCCAGGAGACTGTCAGTGTGTAGTGAGTGTGAGGCTGCTGAGTGATCACACACACACACACACACACACACACACACACACACACACACACACACACACACACACACACACACACACACACACACACACACAGAGGTCACTGACAGCAGCAGGTGTCAGAGACGACCTCTGTTAGCGAGCTGTGTTAAATACCATCATACCGTTTATAGAACAACGGGACTGGAGTCTTTTTTCTGCAATTCCAAAGATGATATCTCCTCCACTGCTTGGTCTATTAACTCAATATTAAATTATAAGTTCATGAGGATTGGCTGTTTAACTTCAGAGGGTTTGTCCACAGCGGGGGTCTGAAACAATCCCATTTCCACTCTGCCTGTTCGTCACGCTGCTTTCTGCATACAAAACACACAGGCTCTGTTTTGACTTGTTCACTCACTCTTAACTTTATTTACTCGTATGCACTCATACATGAACATGAACATGCAGAGAGGTGGGCTCTGTTGTGGAAACCTTGTTGTTTCCATGTCATCATTTCCAGGAACAAACGGCAGCTTTTTGTTTCTGATTGTTCATGAATATTTTTAGTTGATCATAAACCAGTTCTTGAATTTGGACAATATGAGTTAAAGTGGAAACGATGGCAACTTCCTTCCCCCCTGGAGTTTCCACTGTATTGGTTTGTGCCGCTGTCAAAACAATTACGGATTGCTTTCTGTTTTCCTTAGAGCTACCAACAACACAGGACTAGTAGTAGGAAAAGTACTCTTTACATCATTGAAAGGAGTAGTTTAAAAGTTCTCCATTTCAAGTACAAGTCCTGAGTTCAAAATGTTATTCAAGTAACTTTTTAAATAACATTTTAAAAAGTATAATCAACAAATATTGTATAGTGGTTTTACTACTGAGATTAGTAAGATTTATATTTCATATAAACACATCATGTTATTCAAGTTAAGAGTAACAAGTCATTCAACGTTTCACATGAATGTAGTGCATTAATAAATACAGTATCTCTCTCTCGTGCTCATCCTTTTTGAACTGTACACACACTAAGGCCACTTTGCTTTGGTTTGCTTTGTTCAGCCCTTTGAGGCACTTCTTGTGATTTGGGGCTATAATACATTTGGATTTGATTTGATTTGAATAATGGCATGGTGTGTGATGTAAACTAACCTGCAACCCCCCCCGGCTCCTCCTCCTCACAGGCTCGCTCTGCTCCGGCCTCTTCAGCGCCTCGACCCTCGGGGTGTCCTGCAGCGCCCCCAACCTGCGGGACTACGTCCGCACGCACCACCTCCTCCACAGGAAGCCCCCCCTCTCCCCCGGCAGTCTGCCCATCGGCGTGTTCGGTATGTTCTCCCCTCCGTCCTCCTCCTCCACCAGGCGGCTCTCTGTCCTTTTTGAGAAGCTCTCCAAACTCTTTTTTTTACTTTTCACTCCTCAAGATTTAAGACTCCTTTTGGGAAATTCTTTGTTTTATTTTTAATTAAAGCTTCTTGCTCTCTTTTGCCCCCAAAACACAACCCGACAATTTCAATCTGTTGCATCACATTTCTTGAGTGATTTTACTTCCCAGTGGCATGATGAGGGCACTGATTTGACAGCAGAGTGATCGGCTGAGCATTGGACCGTGTTACGCTCCCTGATCCCCCCCCTCCCCCCTCCGCCGTCCACTTGGGTTTGATTGTGTTGAAATGTTCTTTCTCTCTGTGCATGTTGTTTTGCAGTGCGTACTACCACATTCCCACCATGGTAATTCGATTTCATAATCCACAGTAAAGTATATTTTGTGTCTGGAAGCCAGACGTCTGGCATTAATTACAGTTTTAGGTAATCCTTACTTTAGGAAACTCAGCCTGTTATTTGGAACCGACCCAATAATCCACCTTTAAATAATCAGTCGCATTCTCCCTCCCTTCCCTTCTCCCTCAGTGTCATGTTGGTTATGGTGAGTAAAAGCAAGATGTTTTTACAGCCACCAGGGGTCCTTATAGCAGCTGTAATTAGCCCGAACACATGGACTGGATCTCTTTCTCATGGTCACAGCTGCTTTAGTTGTTGTAGTACTTTCATGAAATTAATGTAACACATCCTGAGGTTCAATCCGCATCAGATACATGTTTCTGATGCATGTTTCTGTGGGTTTTTAAACACATAAATCTGAGTCACTCTGTTTCTCCACTGGGTGTCACTCTAACTGCGAGGCTACACACTGCCAGGAGCAAACAGACTCTCGTTTCTTTCACATCAGGCTCTCTGAGAGGCAGGTGAGGGTTTAGACTGACGTCATCTCAGGGAAGCGAGAGCAGAACAACATTGTACTCGTTTTACGGGAAATGTGAAAGGAAGTGTTCTGGTTTGAACTCAGACCTTTAAACAGCCTGCAGTGTTGCTGGAGAGCGAGCTTTAGAGCAGTGTTATAAGGTGAGTTCAAATACCCCTTCATCAACACCACTCATCATGTTTACAATGTCTCATGGATTACAAACATTATAACGTCTATCAGCCATTGGTTTTACCATTTTAGTTTACTGCTCTCAAAGCATCTTTTTTGGTCGTCACAGGCAGCCGTTTTCAGCAAAAGAAGCTGCTCCAGCTCTGCACCAAAAGGTAGGCAGATAATAGCTGATGAAACATAATGACATGTTTTTGTAGGTCGACACGGAAGTTAGCAAGGTTCCTTTACTAAAAGCAATGGGAATTTTCCATTGGATTTTGAAATATTGCAGAAAAATCTTTGGCAAACAAACTTCACACAACACCTCTTTTAAAAAATAGTTAAAACTGAAATAGAGACCAGTTGCCGTGTGTCACACCCTCTGTTTCCCAGTTTAAATTATGTCTCTTCATTTAAGGAACTGGTTGCCCCAAAAAAGATTTTAAACAGAATTGAAAACGAAATGCCAGAATTAAATAGCCAACGTGGTAAACAAACTTCATGACGGTTGCATGAAGTCCGCACCGCTATGCTTGAGACTTACTTAGTCAGTAGTCTCAATTAGCCACTTGTTAGTTAAAAGCTTCGGACATGCTGACGTATTTTATGTTGTATAACAAAATATGAGTAGGCTTGCATTAACCACAAGCCTTTTCGGGAATCTAATCAAAAACTAATTTAATAATGCTTACTAATTTCCGTTTGTTCTGTTCTTCATCGAGTGCTAAAAAAAGGGCAATCTTTGACTTGATTTGCCAAAACATCGACAGGTTTGGTATAAATTAAACAACTGTGAGGGTATTTGAACAAAGCCAACTTGTCTGTAGCTTCATATTAACCATCCAGACATAAATCCTCGCGTCCAACTGTCGGCAAGAAAAGGAAGCCGTGTATTTCCCAAAATATGGTACTTCACAGATTGTTTCCTGTCACAGGTGATCACCCTTTAGATTGAAGTCCATCGTCCCTCCTCCTGCATGTCTACTATCCAGACAAAACATCAGTCCTCCTCCCTCTCCACAGCCTCTCCTCTCCCTCTCTCTGATGGCCTATCTCTTCTTTGTTTATTCAGAGACCACCCTCACTTTCACGCATGTTGGTTGGCAGACAGACACTGATGGATCGACGGGCCAAATCTCTCATTCTGTTTCTCTCTCCTCTTTTTTTCCCTCCCATGTTAAAACCACTGGCACCACAGGCAGGTACCAGCAGTCCCAGTAACCCCAGTTACCTTTCTTATCTCCTCAGAGCTGTTCTCTATGCCGCCAGTAAAGAGATTTTCTGTGTCGTTTGCCAGGCATCCGACTAATGGTATGTCTGCTTTTTATTCAAGTTTTTTTTCGACCCTCCTCCAGTTTTTCCTGTTATCTTGCATGACCCTTTTTTTTGTGGGAAAACATTTCCTGTGTTTTCTATTTTTTGGGGGGGTTTGACGTTTGGCTGCGTTAATTACATTAAACGTCTCCGAAATGAAATTTGTAAGAGTTTCTGTTTCACCACACGCCCTCGGTGTTTGTTGTACCTTGTGTTGTGTTTCGGCCCTCACCTCTAACACCACCTGCTCTGCCTGTTCTTGTTCAAATCGCCTCTGTGATCCTGCTGTTTCTCCACAGGATGAATATATCTCCTGCCTCTGATACGTTTCCATGTGCAGATAATCTGTGCACGCATCTTAAATATATCTCCAATTTGAAATCATTCATTCTTTTAATTTCTTAGTTTGGGCAATGAGAGATGCAGATTTTTCTTTGACAGCATCACTGATTGATGTGGTCAGTATTATATTCACTTGTAAACACGCTCAGCAGTGAAGTCACGATGCACTGACACACCCTGCAGCAAGGTTACTCTGAGTCACTTTCCAACGGCATGAATGCGGAGCTTCTCACAAAATCAGAACAAAAAAAGCGTGTTTTTTGATTTTGTTTCTTCATTAATTTGTTGAAGTCTTTTTATCTACACCCTACAAAAGGAGTCAATAAGAGATGGTGTGATTTACTGGATTCAGTCGTCACTTTATTCAACAGTTTTTTTGTATCGGACACATTTTGTATGCTTTGCACTTTTATCTATTGTATTCATTAGGTGCTACTTTACAAGCAACTATGACTTTTGTGAATTCTGAGAATGTTTGATTAAGCTAAAATTATGAAGTGATTAGACAATCTACAACAAATATATAAATCACCTCCTCCAATGTGAGCATCTGGTGCTTTTCTCTGTTTTATACAATTATAAATTAATAGATATTGGAGACCTAAAGTCATCATCTTTGAAATTGGGTGTTTTCAGGTATGTCATAGGTCATTAAAACAATTAACTATTATATAAAATACTATTAGCTGCAGCATTATAATATACAGAAAAGGATTGGGCCACATTTTTGAGATCTGACCAAAAGCTGATTTTCAGAAAAAGACAGAATTGGGTTTAATGTCAAAACTCAAATGAAAACCACTCTAGGTCAGATTTATCTTAAAGTCATGTGTATTTCCCCCTGTTGTTTGATGTGATAGTTGATGATAGTTGATGCTGTGTAAGGTAGAAAGGGCCAGCATTATCGACAGCTTCATTTGAGTGCTCCACACTTCATCTCTAACACTGTCGAGTTAGTAACAAGTTGTTCTGTCTTCAGTGTCTTTGATTCAGTTTCATGTTTCTGTCCCTGGAGAATAGCGAAGTAGCTTGAAACACAAAGTCTTCCTCTGGTAACAGCAGGTGTTGGGATTTAACGAGTTACTCCTTTGTTTTTGATTTGTCAAAAGCTGCAGCATGATGAAATAATTCTCTTATTACTTTTGTGAGATGAGTTTTGAGGCCGTTTCGTGCCACCACTGTGAACGAGAAGCTCGTCCCGCCGTCTTTTATAGATCGAGAAGGGGCGAAGAAGCTCGTCCCATTAGGATGTTTTTCATATGACTGAATGCTATTAATGATTTAAGTCACTGGCTCAGAAATATCCCAGCATGTGTTTGCAGGCTGATTGGTGCTGAAAGAAAGCACTTAGAGCATCGGGATCATGTCAAGCAGAGTTTCTGTGGTTCAGAAATCTGATATGATGTTGACGAGATGACATGAGAAACATCGAGCTTCCTGAGAGAGATTTGGGTCTTCAGGGAAGTTTCCCGATTCTCACCATCGTAGTCAAGCTTTGTCAAAAAGGCATGGTTTGATGCCATAGATCTTCAAGGTTCAAGGCTTTTATTAGTCATACGTACATAGCTACACTGTAGTTATGACGATGAAAATCTTAGGTCACAGGCTCCTCCAACAGTGGAACACAATAAAACTGAAAAACAGTAACAATAGCAGATCTTAATCTCATATGCACATTTTTTATTTGACAGAGCAGTCATCTGTTCAACTTTATACTCAGCCCTGCAAGGTCATAGTTTTCTCTATGCAATACTTGTGTTGAATTTTCTGTTTGAACTATGTTATTGATGACTCTAAGACCCTCTGGTTCACATGTTTTCTGGAGTAGATCTGTGGCTTTTATGTCTTTGATTATTTTCTAAAACTAGGAGTGAGGGATCATGAATAGATTATTGACTTTTAACTGCTGCTGTTTTTTATTTAGCTATAAATAAATATATAGCTTTAGTTTGAACTACGTGTGTTTTGAAATATAAATAGTTGGATTCATGTCAGTAGCTTGTTTGTGGATGAGTCATCAGGGTGTCCGCGGGGTCTTAAAAAGTATTAAAAGTTGATAAATCAATTTAGCGAAAATGAAGGCTATTAAAAAGTATTAAACGGCATTTTCCAAGGTATTACATTTTGTAGCTTGTTTTCAATAAGTATATAAATTGTCCAAAGAGGTTGTATTCTACAATCTGCCTGAATGTAATCATTGCGTAGGTGTGTAGTGTGATTCTGTGTAGTTTATTTATGGCATCCCGTTGGATTTGACGTCATCTGAACAGGACATCACACGCTCACTGCTTGATAGCGTGAAGGTCCGTTTACGCCGGTTGTTAAACAACATCGTTATGGGGAAATGCAAGTCTGCGTCCAAATGGTTGGAAGATAAGGAGGAAGGACAATCAATACTGTATATAGTCAATGTGAGGTAAAGTGTGTCGCCAATGTAACCGGTTAGAACTCCAAGTGGCGATGAGGTCTTCAAATGTATGGAAAGGGTCTTAAAAAAGGTCTTAAAAGGTCTTACATTTGACTTCAGGATTCCTGCATATACCCTGGTCATACCATTGTGCTTCGTCACAGTTGGTCTACTTCATATTGTACAATGGCTTATTACAATTACTTAAAGTCGCTTCAGATGGAAGCATCAGCTAACTGAAATGAAATGAAAGATCAATACCTCGATCGATCGAGCCACAGACTGAAAGTGAATGAACTTTCTATAATGAATTTCTTGTCCTGAAGCCACACTGCTCTTTTGGCTCTATCACTCTTCTTCATCTTATTGTGAAGTAAGTTTGACTAAAAAGGCAAATGATTGGTTTTGGCTAGACTAGTTTGACTGAAATGTTCAATATAATCTGATGACTAAAAAAGACTAAAATGTCAACATTTTTCGTTGACAAAAAGTAGACTAAAATAGTTAGTTTTCTTTGACTAAAGTAAGACTTTTAGTCGACTAAAACTTGACTAAATGAAAACAGGATGAAGGTGACTAAATATGACTAAAATTGACAAGGACATTTGACACAGGACTAAGACTAAGACTAAAAACTGCTCCGTTTACAGGTCACGTATTATGCAAAATGCACTTGTTCATTTCTCTTCTACATCAACATGTGTCCCCTCTCTGTAAAGAGACTCTGAAAGTTTCAGAAACAAAGATTCTCTCTCTTTTTGTCCTGATCCATTTATATAAAAACCTGTCTGAAAATGAGCTGATCAGATTCTGGCCACTTTATGATGTCATAATGATTTTTTGGCTTGTGTAACCATTAGCCAATCACCAACCAAGGTAACCCCCCCCCCCACCGTATCACCTGAATCTCCTCCTAGAGCACCATTGTGTTCTTTGTAACCAAATATCTCTCAGAGGGGCGTGGGGAGGGGCTCCTTATTTTCATCTAAAGTAACAGACAGAGAATCAGCACTTTTGAAACAGGGCTGAAACAGAGGGGATTATGGGTAATGCTGCAATGATCTGTTTGGTGTTTGGAGCCAAACACTTCAGAGACATGTTTTGTATATATCTGAGACTTATAATATATTGATGAAAAACAGTATAATAGGGGACCTTTAATGTGCAGCTGGAAATGTTATGTTGCATGTCTGCCAGAGGGTGCAACACTTGCTTTGAAAGAAGGATGTCCATTTTCTTCTGCATACAATACTTAAAGTCACAGTGAAACGTCAATCTTCAGTAATGCGACTTATTACATAAGATAAGATGAGAGGTACTTTATTGATCCCATGTTCATGTTTGCGTTGCAGCAGCATAAAAAACAACAAAACAAAACAAGGCATTGCACATAAGTAGAAATGAAAGAGTAGAAATAAACAATACTAGAATTTAAACATCTCAAAATATACAGTAGACCGTGAAGATAACAAATCTATAAACTATTATCCAGTGAAATAGGATATGTGGGGTGGGCTTTAAGTCCTAGAAGGATTTTATTAGCTTTAGGACTCCTTTGTTTACTTCTGTGACATCACTATGTAACACTCACGCTCCTATTGGCTAGTGCTCCAACACATGTCATAGGCTAAGAAGCTGGACATCTCTAAGTGGTTGACCAATCACAACAGAGCCGGCCAGCTAACCAATCAGAGCAGACTGCAGGTTCTGGTTTCAGACAGAGGGTGAAAAGAGGTGCTGTGAACCTAAACATTAGCATAATAGGGTCGCTTGAATTATCTTATTCTATTGGCCTAGTGCAGTTTTACTAGTTTTATAAAATAATCCAGCCCAAAATCACATGTGATTAGATACATTAATATAAAATGATAGTTATGGATGAGTCATCAAAAATATGACTCAGTTTTACTTCAAGATAAAATTAAGACTTTGATGAAATGTCTATTATGTGACATGTATTATGTTTATTTCTGGAACTAGAAAAAGCTACAGTATACTAAGATAAACCATAATTTTCTTTAAAGTGGACCTATCATGCTATATTTGAATAATATATTGTAGGGCCATACCTATATAAAACATGTCTGTGAAGTTTTTTTTTCAAAATACCAAACAGATCATGCATTTTAGCCATGCCTCATTTCGCTCTATTTGCTCTTTTCCAGCCCTGTTTTTGCAAGGGCTGATTCTGTGAGAAGTCTTCTTCGCTGCTTTTGTGGCAGACTACAGCGCCACTTACAGGCCTGGCATATGTACTACAGCATCTCCAGCGCTTTCGAGCGGCAATGGCCGTGGCCCAACCCCCCATTCCCCTGATAGGTGGAGAGTTGCCCATATAGGCGGAGCTCCCCGTTTCTGACGTCAGAACAATTTCAAATCTGTATCAGTCTGGATCAGCTCCGTTGCAGCCCCGTTTTTAGAGATTTGGGTATGGAGGAAAAGAGAGAGGGTTGTGTTTTCTGACACTTGGTGAGTTCCCTGACACACCGGGGACACATATTCATGTATAAAAGACGTACAAAAGTGCATTTTGCATGATAGGTCCCCTTTAACTTAATATTGAATGAATCTGCAGAAGAAGAACTGATTGCTCTGCATGCTGGGTGGAAGCTTGATTAGCAGTCGAAATAAGAAACAGATGTTCTGCTCATCTAACTGCATCGTGTGATCCCATTTGTTTCATAATGAGCTCTCTTTGAAGAGTCAGACGCTGGTGGCTTCAGTTTGGCCGTCTCGATGGGAGGTCACGACCCCAGCACTCACAAATTAGGTTTCCTGGCCATGTGGCAGATATCTGAGCGTCTGTTGAAAGATTTGGGACTTGTCTAATTAAGTTGAAGCCTTTTCACAGACTGCTGATTCTGTAAAGTGTTTCTGGAGCACGTTGGTGTCTCTTTAATGGAGCTCCTGTATTATTCTCTTGCAGTAAGCAGAGAGGACTTTCTGTAATGAGTAACAGATGTTTTTAATTGCTGCAGGCAGATTGATCCCGTCTTTCAAATCCTCTCTTTCCTGTCTCTTTGTGTTCACCTGTGTTTAACTGTTGTCTATATGCTGCAGTGTTGCATCAGTGTTTCTCTCCCACTGCATCTGCCATGTGAGCTGAATCTGATATCCAGATTGAGAAGCTGCAGCAAACAATAGGAACAGGAAGAGACAGATAAATGCCATCTTATGTCATTTGTATGCAATCCATCAGCTGTGTTCGACAAAAGACAGAACAAGCAGTTGAAGGAAAGGATTAATGTCACGTATTGGACCTAAAGACCAATATCTTACATACACGAGATAGATAGATAGATAGATGGATGGATAGATAGATAGATAGGTAGATGGATGGATGGATAGATAGATAGGTGGATGGATGGATGGATGGATAGATAGATAGGTAGATAGATAGATAGATAGATGGATAGATAGATGGATGGATAGATAGATAGATGGATGGATAGATAGATAGATAGATGGGATAGATGGATGGATGGATGGATAGATAGATAGATAGATAGATAGATGGATAGATAGGTAGATAGATAGGTAGGTAGATGGACAGATGGATGGACAGATGGATGGATAGATAGATGGATGGATAGATAGATAGATGGATAGATGGATGGATGGATGGATGGATAGATAGATAGATAGATAGGTAGGTAGGTAGGTAGGTAGGTAGGTAGGTAGATGGACAGATGGATGGACAGATGGATGGATAGATAGATGGATGGATAGATAGATAGATAGATAGATGGATGGATAGATAGATAGATAGATGGATGGATAGATAGATAGATAGATAGATAGATGGATGGATGGATGGATGGATAGGTAGGTAGGTAGGTAGATAGATAGATGGATGGATAGATAGATAGATAGATAGATAGATGGGTAGGTAGATGGATAGATAGATGGATAGATAGATGGACAGATGGATAGATGGATAGATAGATAGATGGATAGATAGATGGATAGATAGATGGACAGATGGATAGATAGATGGATGGATGGATGGATAGATAGATACAGTAGATAGATAGATACTTTATTGATCCCAATTTGGGAAATGTTTGCGTTGCACTTCCTCCTGAGGCTTTGTTATATAAATGTATGCCAAGTACGTGTGGTTTTTCTATATGTTGAACACTGAAATCACTTAAAATAAAGCTGCATTGGCCGTCATCTATGTATATTAAGGAACAAAGTTAATGATTAATGACAGATTAGAGTCTAAAGCAAGTTTTGAAGCAGCTGTCTGTGATGGATCCTGCTTTTTAGTCCTGTTTGTCTTTGAGTTATGTTGTATTTCAAATAATTGGCCCAAGGGCTATGAAGAAATATCGTGTAGCGACCATGATAGGATTTTAATAACACCCAAAGGATTTCAAATGCTCCCGATGTCCATTTCTTGTCATGTTATGCATTTAATTATTCCCATAAGAAACTTTAAGTAAATTGAGTGAAACTTTGATGTGAAAATGACCGACATCTTCGCTCTTCAAGGCCCTGAATGGTTCCCGTCCGTTAAATGCCGACCGCAGTTTGTTCCGCTTGTGTCGTTTATATTAAGACGAGTGGTTTTTGGGGACTAGCTCTGGTCAAATCTGTATTCACATCACATGAGTGGTGGTGGAGAAATGCAAGGCCTCCCAGCATGCTCTCTGCTGATATGGATGCGCTGCTTTTGTCGGGCTGCACTGAATGACTCTGGACTGTAAGGTGTGTTATATGGCATCGTTGAGTTTGTGTTTTCTCAGCACACACACATTTCTGTTGTGATTTTATAAAGAGAAAATATCCAATCTTAATATCTCCATACAGACTTCTTCCAGGCACCAAAGACATTTAGAACAAAAATAATTGACATAAAAGCTACAAAGGAAAATGAAAGATAGGAAGTATAAAAATGAATGTGTAAACATGAATTGCAAACACACAAAATATGAATCATACACTGCACCAAAGGATTGTTTTAAATACTTATACCTGTTAAGATTCAAGGGTTGTGATCAATTCACTTTTAAACCATTAATAAAGAAAAATGTTTAAATGCGACACAATTCATCCTTGAGGAAAAGTATTTTATTTTCATTTATAAAAACACAAATATTAAATATATATTTTTGTACATGGCAAAAAAAAATAAGAAAATCAAAACATATACATTAAAAATAATAAAGCCCCAAAAAATAGTACAAAGAATCTGGTAAAATCATTTTAACTCATTTCTTCTGCATTTCTTTAATTAATATTATTTCACGTGGTTTGTATGACAGTGAATTGATCCACATCCTCTTATAAGTGGCATTTTCCCAAATGATCAGCACATCCTGCTTTTCTTAATTACATAAAACTAACCAATATAGGAAATAATCCATCCATAGTGACGATTTTGTTTCATTATATCAAGTCTGGTTGTAATTTGAATGCATTGCAGCATTGGGTAAACTGTAGCAGCGCTCGTAGGATCTTTAAAAAGGTCTGTGTGGCTGGTTAACAATTCAAAATGGCTGCCTAATTTTGTGGGACCTGCTTGTCACTGTTTGGCATTAATTGAGAGAATCAGCAGACACCATGCACAGAGAGCTGTAGCCCCCCCCCCCTCCCCCTCGCTCTGTAGTGGAGCCGTGTTTCCACCGGCTGTGTTTGTGTCTCTGCTGCAGGGTTTGAAGGCTGCTCCATGGTGCCCTCCATCTATCCTCTGGAGACGCTGCACAACTCGCTCTCTCTGAAGCAGGTGGACGAGTTCCTCAACACGGTGTGTGCGAGCAGCAGCGAGGCGCACGCCAAGACCATGAGAGGTACTGTAGGCCCGCACAATCACAATCACATAAAGAGGCCTGTAGTTTTCTCGTATAGGTTTTAGTGCATGTAAATGGTCTGCAAATCAGAATCAGAATACCCTTATTAGTCCCACAGAGGGGAAATGTACATTGTTACAGCAGAAAAGAGCCAAAGACAGCTTAATGTTACTTAAGAAGCATGCATAAAGTATTAAAGATGAAAAAATAAATAAAAAGACTAAGACTTCTGTAAAATCTGTAAGTAAATGATAGGTAAAGGAGTATTAATCTAGTTGCTTTTCAATGGGCTCAAATTCCCTTTGCACATGATTCAGTGTTGTAGCCCTCATCTTTTTATCCTGTTTGAAGCCACATTTTACAATACACTCCTGGTCATTGTTTCAACACATACATAAACAGATAAAGAATGTAACGATCTTAACTTAACAAAGAAATAACCTTGGTTAATAGTAGCGGTTAGCTCTCAGGCTCTTCTTGTATCCGCCAAAGAAACACTGATTTGAACATGAAACAAACTTATTCAGTTTTTTTAAAAGTGGTCTGTAGTTTTTGAAGAGAAGGGGACATATGTGGATAGTTTGACTCAGTAAAAACCTGAATACTATTACAATATAATTCCAGACCCAAGGTAAAATACCCAAAACAGAGAAAGGATTGATGAATGAAACAGCATTGTACGTTTCTTTGGCTCTTATGTTTGAGTCCGTGATTGGAAAGCATTTTTCACAAATTATTAAATATAATGACTATTTGAGTTTAAATCAACTTGTGTAATTAATGTGTCCACTACACTCTGCTGTCTGTGTGCACACATTGTTTCAATTCAAAACATGTCAATCTGGAGTTCAGCCAATGTGCACAACTCAGAAAATGTTATAACGCTGTGGTTCTGTTAAATAAAATGCATTTTCAGCTGACATTTCCAAACTGACCTTAATGTTTTCTCGTCTCAGCGCTCTCCTGCCTGTTTGACTCTCAGAGCCAGACGTCTCTCTACAGCCCTCAGCCGGCACTCTCCTCCTCCGGGTCGGAGACGTCTCTGCGCCCGCCGAGCCAGCCGCTGTGGCGTGAGTGCTTCATCTTTTAATGGCGTTATGCAACACGTAGAGCCACCTTCATCTCCTCTGGTAGGAGCGTTAGGAAACATACGAGCCAAATCTCACTGGAATGAAAGTTAAATACTGTAGTGGCTGTTAGAAGTATTTGGATATATACTGTACACAGTGTTATGGGGTTTGTCAATTGTATTTTAAATTCACTTTTTCAATCCCTACAAACATTTTGGCACAGAAAAACAGCTGCTTCAGTAGACAATTACAATAAGGAGAAAGAAAATAGGTCCTTAAATAGGCGAACAAATCAGTACTGTGAGAGGGATTTGTTGTAAAATACTACATGTTAACATTATTTGGAAGAACACTGGTAGTAATGGCTGGTAACATCTAAAGGTACCTTTTAATAAACACTTTATATTGTAGAAAGTAAAGTTGTGTCCTTATTTATGAAACCCAAAAAGGACTGTCTGCATGAAGTTCTCCATGGCAACAAAGATGAAGCAGCGAGGGGTGACGTTGGTGCTTTTCTGTTTTTGTTCCTGATCTCTCCTCCCGTCTTTGTTCACTTCCTGTCCCTCCACATGACGCACACTCAGGAAGAAACACACCCACACCCTCTGAGTGGAGTGAGGACAAGAAGAGAGACAAATACCACCATCACAGAAGCTAACTAATGCTAACTGATGCTAACTGCTGCTCATTTTCAACAAGATAAATCTGAAAAACAGTGATTTAGGTATTAAATACAAAGTACGATTGGGCTTATCAGTGATTGCGCACTGTTATTGTTTTATTAGTATTTCATTTTCTTAGTAATACATTTTCCAGATGTCTTCATCTAGCTTGTTTTGTCTGATCCAACAGAGCAAAAACAACCAAGGTGTTTAAATGAATATTAAAGGTGGGGTAGGTAATTCACTTCAGAAACACTTTTTGTTATATTCCATGGAATGCTCTTAACATCCCGATAGCAATGAATATATTAAATGCTTTGACAATAAATACATAAAGAAATGTCATCTGTGGAAGCCGTAGTACTGTAAAAAGCACGACCAATCATCTGAGCCGGCCCTGCTAAAATAACTGGATGGCCTACCTGCCTGTCAGCCTTCCATCTGTGCACAAACTTATCTCGTGCCCTCATTGGTCATGTGCGCGTTCGTGTGTGTTGGAGGAGGGGCTCTGTAAGGAAGTGGCAGATTTTTTCCGGTTGTGTATTTTCAATTTCTAGCGCACTCCAGCTGGTTTCTCCATTCTTACCTACCCCACATTTAAGAGTTAAAAAAAGAGTCAAGAGTGAACTGAAAGTAATTTTTTTTGGTTTGAATCAAACAAATAGGAAATAACATTTAAATTATTAAGCTTTTAAGTTGTTTAGGGGTGGATTTTGTTTACCAAATAAACAAAATGGCATCCTTATAATTGCCTGAAATACAAAAAGCATCAATCTGACACGTTTATCATTTTCACGAGTCAGTGATCATACACTGTTTTTGTTTTATTTATATTTATGTTTTTTTTGTAACATTTTCCAGGTGTCTTCATCTTGCTTGTTTTGTCTGATCAAGCAGTAAAAAACAAGCAAGATTTTGTAATTATTTTAAAATTGATTTTGAGCTTTAATGACTGATTCACTGGAAAATGTGTTTCTGTTTTCAGGTTCGGATCAGAGCTGTTTGTACTATCTGTACCTGCATGTAGTGTTTTTAGACTACAAAGATAAGTGACTGAATGATGTGGTTTTTGTGTTGTAAAGATGGCAGTATCCCCTCCAGTGCTGTTTCCAGTGCTGTTTCCAGCGCCGGCCCCTCCTCCCCGAACACAGAGAGCCCGGGGGCCAACTTCGGCTTCAGTGAGTGAACTCTTTAAAAGAAAAGCACAAGGACTTCTGGGAATTTAAGGACACAATCTGAAGACCTCGGTTTCTACGTCACTGTGTGTTTTCATACGTCTTTTCCCCCGTCCTGCTGCTTTGAATTCACACCCACTGGAGGAGAATCTGAATAGTTTAAAAACACTCAAACAGTGCACGGACTCTTCAGATGCACTCCTAGAAACTCTGGACTTTAAACTTTTTTGTATTACCTCGATCCTCCTCCCTTTGTCGACACACATGAAACCAGCTCCAGCAGAGCATCAAGCCAACTCTATGACCAGCCGTGCCTTCAGTGTAATTTGGATGCTGCCGTCGCTGAAACAACAACAACAACACATGTTTGTTTTTGTTTTTAAGCCCAAATGCTGATGGTGTATTTTTCCAAATCTCTCTCACACACCAGCTGCCTCACCTCTGACCTCAGACTACAGAAATGCATTTCAGACTCTGAGTCAAAGTGTCAGCAATCACTCATTTGCATTTGAGATTCATGTTGTGCTGCAGCCAATCACAGCCCACCCTTAAAAAAAAACAGCCTATTTCTGAAATTCAAGTGACATTTTGTGTAATTTTACTTTTAGCAGTTAGTTAAATCTTAAAAGCAACAGTTTTAGAAATGTTGGTTGTAAAATATAATCACATCTATCTGTTACATTTGAAGCCACAGCCCGTTAGCTTAGCACAAAGCTACTAGAACTACAACGCCTGTTAACACATCATATCTCCTTTCATTTGTACGGTAAGTGTAAAAACAACTATTTTAGGAGCCAGACTATTTCGTGGCTGGGTGCACTATCGTTCAGGTTTAAGTGAAACACATAGGAAATAACTTTTTAATTATTGAGCTTTAAAGTTTTTTTAAGCGGATTTTTCGTTACCAAATGAATGAAATGGCCGCCTAAGAATGGCCGCCTTGAAAAACAAATCTGACACGTTAATCATTTCAGAGATTAACACAAATCATAGTCAACAATCTGGATTATATCTAAATGCTCTGTACCATCAAGTTACCATCTGATTTTTTCGTTAAATTCTTTCAAACTAAACAACATTTGAGTTGTTTGTATTGTGTAACTCGAGCCGCTGAATCAAACCGCTGTTAAATAGACACACATTTCATCTGTAAATGTGCCTTAAATTAATGTTTTAAAGATATTTGTAGACACTGTTTATTTACGGCTGTATTTTTTTATCTAAAAATGACTTATAGGAAAATATGTGGTGTAGCTTTATTTGAGATTTTAGGGAAAGAACCACTTCAATAGTATAAAAACTATTAGTTATTATCTGCTGTCACACCAAATGAAATGTGTATTACTATTTGTTCAGGCTTTAATGAGTGATACTCTGGTAGAAACGTCAATCAGCTTTAAACTTACATTCAACTCAAAGAAAACGTGTATTACTTTAAATAACCTTTATTGACGTAGTTCTCTGTGGGATGTATGTTCGAACAGTGCAAGCATGTATACAGACATGTCTAAATATATATATGACCCCCAAGTCCTGGAAACCTCTGCTGTTTATTTTAGTTATAGATTTTATTAGGATTTTTTAATTCCAGATTGTTGCTGTATGTATTTTCCGTTGTGTACTTCTATGATTATTTAAAGTGTTATTTAATGTCAGCCAAAGTTTATCTGTTCGGCTGCTGGACAACAAAGTGGACTTTACTCTTTGTAAACATGTTGAATAATTCTGTTGACCTTTAGATGTTCGGGTCGGGTTGAACTGATGGAAAGAGGAAGAGGAGGATGTAATAAAAAACACATAATTAAACTGTCTGTGTCCTCTTTCTGTTTTGTCTCCTGTCCAATCTATCTTAGTTTTCCTCTCTACTTTGTTTTCTCTACCTTCCTCATTACCTCTCCTTGTTTTTCCACTCTCCTCTACTCGTCTCCTCTCCTTGTCTCCTCTTTTTATTTCCTTACTTGTACTCTTGTCTGCTTCCTCTCCTTGTCATTTCTTCTTGTTTTTTCCCCTCTCCTGTGTTTGACTGCATCTCACTTCGGTTAAATGGATTCCTTGCGTCCCTCACTTGCGTCCTTTCCCTGCGACTAGTCCCTCCCACCAAGGAAGCATGGAGAGACGCAAGGAAACCACGAGAAGCAGGGAAATGAGTTTTAAGAGCAATGGGACGTCGTTTCCTCCGTAGCGTCACGTGAAGCGACGTCCATTTGTGATGACGCTGCACAGCTGATCGTCTGACAGCAACAGATCAGTGCATGCGCTGCATCGTCCAATCAGTGAGCGATACACAGTAAGGGGGCGGAGCGAGTGTCTGAGGATTTCACCGGAGGATGGTCTGTAGTTCCTCGATTATCGCTCCTCCGTTATCGCTCCTCGATCCTCGATCCTCCGGCACAAATAAGGACACTGGGACGGTACTCAAGATGACGCAGACAAATCAACTTCCGGTGATACCGAGAAGCGAGGAAATGAAAAATAACCGAAGTGAGACGCACCCTGTGTGTCCTCCACTACCCTCTACTATCCTTACCTACCCTCCTTGTCCCTTCATTTGTTTCCTTGCCTCTCCTTGGTTGCTTCCCTTTACTTCACCTTTTCATCGCTTGATGTTTCCTCTCTTGTCCTTGCACCTTTCCTTGTTTTCTCCCCTCTCCTCCTTTCCTTGTCTGTTATTGTTTCTTCTCCTTGTCACTTCTTCGTGTTTCCTCTCCTTCCCTCTTTCGGTCCTTCCCTCAACTCTGCTCTTTGTGTCTTCTCTCCTTGTTTCCTCCCCTTCCTGTCCTTGTCTCTTCCCTCTATTATCCTTGTCTTCTCTCCTTCTCTCCTCTTTTTGTGTCCTCTCCTCACCTTTACCCTTCTTGCCTGCTCTCCTTATTTCCTTTCCTTATCTCCTGCTATCTTCCCCTTGTTTTCATTCTTCTTCTTCTCTTCTCCTCCTTAATCTCCACCCACTCTGTTTTTCTCCCTTGTTCACATTAGTTGTGTCTCTTCTCTCCCCTCCTGTCTTTCTTCCCTTCTTCTCTCGTCTTTGTACCTCACCCACTAATCGTCCCTTGTCCTCTTCTCGTTTCCTCTCTCTCTCTCTCTCTCTCTCTCTCTCTCTCTCTCTCTCTCTCTCTCTCTCTCTCTATCTCTCTGTCTCTCTCTATCTCTCTCTATCTCTCTGTCTCTCTCTATCTCTCTGTCTCTCTCTATCTCTCTGTCTCTCTATCTCTCTCGCTCTCTCTGTCTATCTCTCTCTCTGTCTCTCTCTCTCTCTCTGTCTCTCTCTCGCTCTCTCTGTCTCTCTCTCGCTCTCTCTATCTCTCTCTCTGTCTCTCTCTCTCTCTCTCTGTCTCTCTCTCGCTCTCTCTGTCTCTCTCTCTCTCTCTATCTCTCGCTCTCTCTGTCACCCTCCTCTCCAAACAGCTTTTAAGTGATGAGTCATGCATACTCCTGTTGCTTCTCATACGTTGCCATGGTGACGCCCCCAGATGTAATTATGCAATTTACACCTCGTCCTCATGGGAGATAGACGAAGAGGGGAGACAGAGAGAGAGACAGAGAGAGACCACCAACTCACAGGAAGCCAACAGCTGATGTAATTTACTCTGTCTGGATGTTCCTCTCTCAGGCTTTATTTCCCACACTCACACACACACATACACACACACACACACATTTCCATTAATTCTGTTTCCATCCGCTCTGACACACACACACACACATTCCCATGAATTCTGTTTCCATCCGCTCTGACACAAACACACACACACACACACACACAGCCGTCTCTCTTGCTCTAACACACACTCCTCAGCAGCTACTTTCCTCCTCACAAATTGAGCGCTGTGTGGCAGCCGGTTGTTTGGTGACCTTTATCAGGTTGTACTCCAGAAAAAACAATCATTAAAGCATTCGGCTGCAAAAGTGTTTATTTTATTTCAGTGAGACACGTCAGCAGAGGTCTCTCAGGTTGAAGACCCTCTGCATGGCCTTTTTCATGTGAATTGTATTTAAGAAATGACAAAGGTCAAGATATTGTGCAGGGACAAATGAACATGTCACCATTTTGTTTGGGTTCTGTAGCCTTTTAAAGTGTGATTCTGAAGTGTCTGCGTTTTAAAACCAAACTTCCAGAAGTCCAAAGGAAAGAAGACGGAGAGGAGCCTCAGAAAACAAACATATACATTTATATCTCAACATTATGGCTTTTCTTCATGATAGTTTCAACATTTTTCCATTATATTTTTCACAAGGACTTTAAAAAATATATTCTTTGACTATTACTTTTTTCATGATATTTTCAACATGGCTTTTTTTTTTACAAATAATAACTTTTTTCAACATACTTTATAACTTTTACCATGATTTCTTCTGCATGCTCAACAATGACTTTTTCCTGATCTTTTTTAACATCTAATATTATGTATTTTTTCAGCTTATTAGTTATTTTTTCGGGATACTATATCACTTTATTTTCCTTTTTTTTGTACATACTATACTCTTGACTTTTTTTCCATGATTTCTTTCGACATGATTTAGTATGCTTTTGTTTTCAACATACTGTACTACGAATTTTCACTAAATGGGGCGAAGCCTGCGAGCTAGTTCAGGCAGTCAACTCGAGCACTTATGCTGCATTCATACATAACGCCCCTTGCCACTCTACAACCAACTAAACAGAGTCTCCTTAATATGCCGCTCTATTGAACCTGCCAGATATCTCTCCATGCATCGCTTGCTGCTGCTATCGCTGGAGCTACTTCCACGTCGCTGCTGCTTGCCTGCCCCACCACCACCCCAGCTTCCACCCCAGCTTCCACCCCAGCTTCCACCCCAGCTTCCACCCCAGCTTCCACCCGTAGGCTCGGGGGGGGTTAGTTATTTAATCATCACTCATCGTGCTATGTATATCTGTGGAGTGATGAGGCCCGAGCCTAGACGCCAAACTCAACTATATGCTGCTTCTAATAAACATGTTAAAGAAACACGTGAGTTGTCTGACTGAACTGACTTTCTTTCATTATATTTTTAACATACTTCATTTTGAAAAATAGTTTTGATGACTTTTTCCTGATCTTTTTTAACATCTAATATTGTCTTTTTTCAGCTTATTAGGTATTTCTTCGAGATACTATAACTTTATTTTCCTTTTTTTTGGACATACTATAATATTACTTTTTTCCATGATTTCTTTCGACATAATTTAGACTACGAACTTTCACTTACTGACTTTTTTTCATTATATTTTTTAACATACTTAATTTGGATTTTTTTCCTGATATTGTCAATATACATACTATGACTTTCTCTCATATGGTGAAGTCAAAGCATCTCAAACAGACGGAGGTTTTCAAATCTTTGCCCACCTGCTCTTAAAGAGACCCATCAGGTATTTGAATGTCAGTGTGACAGAATGCTGTAGGAGGTCAGCGTGTCCCGGCTTCACTCCCACAGGTCAGTGACTCAGCTTGTACTCCCAGGCTAATTGCCACACAAAGAGAGAAAGAGAGAAGTGGGCGGACGACAGGAAGGAGACCGAGAATGGACACACACACACACACACACACACACACACACACACACATAACCCTCCTTTGAAATCAAAATGCATTGTCATGGTTACCTGGAGGCCAGCAGTAATGTGTGTCTCGTTACAACCTGCAGATAACAGATTCATTTCAACAGGAGTGAAAACCAGGCCACAGTTCTTCCTCTGTTTCACTTCTCCTTTTTTATTTCCCTGTATTAGATCAACCATCATTAATTAATGATTAGGATCAGGATACTCTTTTTTACCCTTGGGGAAATTAGGTTTTGTGACAGCGACTCTATTTTAGAGTGACATCAAATGAAATGTATGTAAGAAATAGAATACAAATATTTATATACATGTACGATGTTGAATAAAAAATGACCAATAAAGAACAAATAAGATAGATAAGAAATATTTACTTAAACATAATACAAATATTTAATTTAATTAATTGGATATCTTTGTAAAATGTAATTTGATTCAAATAAATTAAATCTGATCAAATGTATGTACTGTACTGTATTGATTGAGTGGCATTGCACATGAGTTGAACAAATAAATAGAGAATACAAAACAGTACAGAGCATAAAATATAAAGAATAACTTACACAGGGTTCGTACGGGTGCTGGAAATCCTTGAAAATGCTTGAAATTTCATGTGGTGTTTTTCAAGGTTTGAAAAGTGCTTGAATTTTGGATAAAGTGCTTGAAATTGTACTTGCTTTACTTTTATAATAAATTGCTATCTGACTGAATAGTTCGCTTTTTTTGATTAAAAAAAAAAGAGAAAGAAGTCGGAGCGAGCTTAATTACTTTTCATAAAAAGACAGCTCCACTCCTTTTATACATATTTTGATATTTGAATCCTTCTTTTTTTCAGTTGCATATTTTACGTTTTCAGATTCAAAACAATTATTTTTTTCTGTTTCAAATCTTGTTTTTTCAGGTTTCACCGTTTTTTTCGCCTTCAAACCATAGACTATTTCAAACTTGATGTTGCTTGGGGGGGCGGGGCTTGCCAAAGAGTAGTTTGGCATCCTGAGTGACAGCCCTCCCTCTGTCATGTTGCCTTCATGGATGTTAGGTAGCGTGAGAAATATAACTCAACACTTTCTATACACAATACTCCCGTGATTGGTGGGAAACCAAACTGATACCAGCGTCAAAGTTCTGTTAAGCGAGCTGCTGAGCATCGTAGTTCAGAATCAGATCAGAATCAGAACACCTTTATTAGTCCCACAGAGGGGACATTTACGTTGTTACAGCAGAAAAGAGCCACAGACAGCTTAAT